TTCTGAGACGCCGGCTGATCTTCGCTGGATCCTGTCTGACGATAAGGAGCTGAGATAAGGCGCTAAATGAAGGGTAACGAAAGAACTATGAAGACAAATGTGGAGCATCAGGTCACACTGAGGTGATACTACATGTGATAACCACAATTACGAAGGGGCCTCCACTCACCTCCTGTGAGAACCAGCATCTGCAACCTGCTGCCAACTCCTCTCGGCTGGAAGTCCGTTCCATAATAAATATAAATAACCTGAAAAATAACTGAGATTGAATACGTATGATTAGCTGCTAAATAGCAGTGTCACTTGCCATTTTGAGTCAACCAAAATGAAGCGAATCAACCCCAACCCTAGTTCTAGTCCAAACCACCCAGACCAAATTTGAGCTGCCCTATTTCTTTGCTGTTCACTTATAGCAGTTTGACTGTTCGACATCCCTTTTCCTAGAAAACTCAGCAGATGTTGTATTTATTACACCAGGCTGCCAAGAATCTCGGGGAGGACAACTGAACACGTGAGGAGAAAGGGAAACTTTGTGTTGACCAGACTCCCCTTCTCCCTCCTGAGAGGAAATTTTATGAACTCACTGGGGAAAGATAAGGCTTCTTCCTCGACACGACCGCTCATACTACAAATTCCTCTGAAATCGCTGCAGTATATTCACAGACCAATGTACGTGTTCACACCTAAAGCTAAGAGATAGTTGCCAGAATTCACTGCCATGACCTAAATATGAACCAAGAGCTGCCATTTTGAAACTGGAGGTGACAGGTCACAAATCAAAGCAGAGCATAGACAAACCTTCCTAGATGGCTATAGTTATATTTTACGTCTGAACGTAGCTCATTTGAATTATGGAGGATTTTCTTTTTATAGAAAAATATGAAGATACATTTTCAGTTGTGTGCTCCTTTATCTGATTTACCAATTTTTTTATATGAGAGGAAAATCTAAGTCATGCAGCAGACATTTGCCTTCAGTTCTTGTTTGCTATTTACAAAAGCAGACTTCACCATGGTCACCAGGCCTGAGAGCGAAAGAGAATCATTTCCTATTTGAAACCTCATTATGTAACCGAAGGATAGCTGTGCGAGCTGGCTGCCACCCCTGAAGCACCCATGAGATTTCGCTGTTAGGTTAAGTTATATAGGATTAGAGCAGATGAGGGGCATCAGGATGGGGCTTGTTAAAAGTCTTGGTTTTGACATTATGGGAGAAACATCTTCCTTAACACAATCATTTCATAGGGGAGTTTACCTACAAGTTTAACAGTCAAGTCCGGCCGCCATTCACAATCTTTGTTCTGAGCAGAAAAAGGAGAACAGTGTAGAGACAGTGCACAAATTAGTTCCTGTTGAGGCTGTAAAAGTAAAACCAAAAGATGAAACCTGTAAATTCTGAATGAAAAAGACAACTGAAACATTGCCCCACAAGCCAAATCACAGAGAGTTAAGTCACAATGGCTGTAATTGTTTTGATGTTTGTTTTATTATATAAAATCATTATGCCATAAAAAATTTATAATTTCCTTGAAAACAGCATGTAAAAAATGGAGCTAAAAACCACATTAGCTGTGTAGTAATGATTTACAAGTAAAAGCAGGCTGGTCTGAGCTAAAACTAAAGCCAAATTTACTTTCCCTATTTCTTCTCTGTAATTTGAAAATATGAGTTTGATGAACTAATATCTTAGTAGCTATTTCACATAAATAATGGGGGAAGTAACTGGATGTTGGAGAAAAGACAGTAACTAGACTGTTAAAACTAACCAACTTTAGCTTAGCAAAGTGGTGGTTGCTGCTATCTCAGTGTTTGACTTGGGTGGAAATCATGCAATTGGTTAAGCTGTCTTTAAATCACGTTTAAATAAATTAAAATGTTAGGTCATTAATTATATTGATTTCAATGACACATTTTTACTTTTTTATGTACTATGTGGCAAAAGATTTCTGTAAAACTAAAATTAAGAATCTGCAGCAATGCTAGCCGCTCTGTGAGGCTGTACTTAGCACCACAGTGCTTTGAGCTAAATGCTAACATCTGCATGCCAACATGCTCACAATGACAATTCCAACATGCTGATGTTTAGCAGGTATAACGTTTGTGATATTCACCATCTTAGTTATCATGCTAAGATTTGAAAGCCTAATAGGGCATGAGTGTCTGTACTACATTTTATGGGAATCCAAAATCCAAAAGTTCACTAAAAGTCAAAAATGTCAAAAAGAATCACCAAAGTCATTAGGATTATCCCCTGGTGACTGGGAATGTACAACTTCATGACAATCCATCCAGTAGCTACTGAGACATTTCAAAGTGGTGTACCAACCGACAGACAAACATTGCCATAGAGCCAAGCTGCTTGAATGGCAAAAAAGGCATAAAATAATAATACATCCATGATTGCAACGTTATTTGTTACACAGCTTGCCAGCCAGTTCACAGTTCACCGTCACTGCCTCCTTACTCTTCTCTGCCTCTGTATGAACAGCACAAGTCTTATTCTTTGACATTATTGTTGGTGATCATCATCAAACGGACAGAGGGCTGGAATACTGGTTTGCTGTGTGTTGCATTTGAAAAAATTCAAGTCAGGCACAGGCATTTGCTTGTGAAACCCTCCACACAAAAAAGGGAAAATTTAAGAGTGGTTCTCAAATAGCCAAATTCCATTTTCTCCTCGACGCATCACAGTGGTGTGCTCACCTAGTAACTGGTAAACACACATCAACAATGACTAAAAAGCATTAATGAACCTTGAGATATTCTCCAAAGAAAACAGTTTAAGTGTTGCCACACTGCAAAGCTTGAGGAATATCATCCCTGCTGCTATAGCCTATTTGCCCCAGTAGGGCTATGTTTACACCAGATATCTGCCCCAGTTGTGCTTTTAATGATTTATTGTGTCAATCACTGTCATTGCTGGAGAGATTTAAAACAATAGAACATAAGGTATCCCTAGCTAACTAGCTAACACCTGACCAAGTTAAAGAGCTACAACTAAAATGCAGATTATGATCTGCCTTGAAGTGTTAGTGAAACCACATCCAGGGTCCAGAGCTCAACGTCAGACAATAGAGACAAAGACCTCATGCATGTGTGACACGTGCTCGAAAAGAAACTAAGACGTCTAGTCGGGTTTCACACAGTACATGTGGCCTTGGGGCGTGTGTCACACTGCTGCATTGTTGGTGCCTGATGCGGTCAATGTCAGGGTGGTGCTGGACAGCTTCTCATCTAACATCTAGAGAATAATTAGTTCTCTGGAAATTGCGAAGTTATCGTATTTAGTTATCCTATTTGTTCACAATCAGGACTACGAGTCTGGTTATTGAGTGGGGATGCATTTACCAAACACTGAGTATTACACGGTGGTGGAAAGTAACGAAGCACATTTACTGTATTCATGCACAACATTGAGCCATTTTACAGTACAACTACATTACAGGTATGTTGTACTTTTTTACTCCAATACATGTACCTGACCGCTTAAGATAATACTTAAACTACCCAACAGTATATAAAATGATTAAATCAGCTCCACCTTGACCAGCTATAGCATTAATGGTGCTTACACATTAATGCATCAGTAGTATTGATCCATGCAATATATAATAACATGCTGAAAGGGGCTATACTGTATTATTATACTTTATGTAATAGTATATTTTGATGCTCACAACTACTTACGTAGTTGTGAGCAAAACTTTGGATGCAGGACTTTTACTTGTGACAGAGTATTTTCACAGTATTTTCTGGCTTGTTAGGGGCAGTGGAAACAAGCTATGAGCCCGACATATCACCTTTTAACTTTGCCTATTTAATAATTGAGCAGATCAATATTCTGGCTACCTGGTGAATATTAGTTCAACATTCACTTTCCTTTTACCTCTGTTTTTTGTCTCTACCAACTCCCGAGGGAAATATCTGGCTAATCAGCTGCTAAATGCTTCACTTGGCCCACCAGCTAATGTTAGATGCTAAGTTTGTCAGTTGCCTGCCATCGCCAAAAAAACTAAAAGCTATGAGAGAAGTAAGAGTGAACCAAAACACTAAAGTTATGGGCCAGAAAAACAAAACAATGAGCTGAAAGATGCTAAAAAAAACTGCGTAGAGTTCAAAGGTACTGCAGAGTTGGATGATAATTCTCTCTGGGTTTATCACTAAGAGCCATCCCTTTTCACAATACACAGATACATATATATATATATATATATATATATATATACATATAAATATTTACTATAGCTGAGTACTTCCAAAACTAAAAACTGATAATAGTAATGCACAATATTGCTTGTAAATCCATCTATGTACCCAATGTTGTAAACATACATTAATAGTCTTTATAATGTTGACTGTTTCCAATGTTAGTGTCTTACTTGCACCATGTAGAGGAGGATGCAATCTCATGTCACAAACAACGCAATACAGCTAACCATATCTTTGACACTGACTCAAGTCTAGACACATGCATATACCTGGCCCTGGTCTTTGGTTTGAATGTGGGAGGAAGATACCCCCCATACAGAGAGCTGCGCCTGTGCTACATGGCAGTGAGATGACTAAGTATGAGGCCTGCTGCCTGTGGCACTGTGCAGGCATGTTCCATTCTGTCAGAGCTCTGCAGCACATAGGCACCATTTCACACGGTCCCCCGACTCTTGGCCAGGCGAGTGGGAACTTCAGCAGCTCTGCTGACAGCCTATACCGAGCACTTCAGCACTGCGGCTGCAACTGCAACGTTTAACCTCCTTTCATTATGGTGGTCTCCTGAATGCATTCTGATAACAGATATATACAGAACACGAATGCATGTGTTCTGAGGTCAGGTGGTGGGAGGTGTGCCGGTGTTGTTGCATGAACAACGAGCAAAAAAAGCATCAAGGTGTAATTGTAAATCAGCTGTAATACCAGGTAAAAGGGCTGCAGATAGTGAGAAAATCCAATACATAACATTTTTTGTTGTTGTTGTTTTTGGCAGCCCAAATGAGAAAAAATGACTTCATTGTTCTTCATGAGTGACTCATTTATTATACAGCAGTGTCAGGAAAATGAACACTGAGTCCTATTGCAGGTATTTCCCCCAAAACAGTGAATATCTAATCTAAGCATTCTCCTCAAACCACCCCCCCAGTATCAGAGACTGTTCACATTGTGTGTGGTCTCAGGGTGGAAAACCCTTCTGTGTTTGAGTCTTGAACGCCACCTACTGTTGCTTGGCAGAAATTGATTTGCTGGTGTAATGTGTAATGTATACATTTCTCTATGAGCTTTATGAAGTCAGGAAAAACAATAAATATAAAATCATTCCCCACATACAAAAAAATCAATAATTACATAAAAATATTTAAAGCATCTTTAAATTCCTATGGTTTGCGTACTGATCCTTAATTGCACCTTGTTCCCATATTAATTCATCCGCATCCAGACACTCAGCCGGATAATTCAGGTTGTTGTCCCTCCTCCTTCAGACCTCTTCTGTACATTAACATGTATGCTGTGTGCCTGTAAAAATAATACAGAAATGTACAAAGGTTTTGCACCGCTAAGTTGGGACAGGAAAAGGAAAAAAGGAACACATAACACTTTTTTAATACAATTAACAGGACAAAAAAAAGTGAGAATATAACTTCCAGGTTTTAGGCAAAAAGAAGTTTTTTGTTGAGAGACAAGACAACGAGACGGACGATGGACGACGGACGGATTTCCTCTATTTAAAAGTTTGAAAGCCCTCATTGCAAAAACACGGTCACCTTCAGTCTTTAATCCTCACTGAGGAACAGACAATAAGGTTTTATCTTAAGATCTAAGACTGTTTCTGTAAGTAAGAAGATAAAAGCTCCATGATGTCGGGAAGTCAAGCATTAAAGCATTATCAATAAAAAACCTTAAATTTAACTCTAAAAAAGCAGCATGAGGCCGGTTTAAGCAGGTATAAATGGGAGTCACATGTTTTTGTTTTTTGCTTTTGTTGTGTGAAGTGTAGAAATTTGTCTTTCTGGGTTATAACATGTCGATTAGTGAGTTTTAAAGGTGCTGTTAGGTGGGTTTGTTACCTTAGGAGAGAGCCAGGCTAGCTGTTTCCCTGCTTCCAGTCTTTAGTATAAGCTAAGCTCACTGGCTGGGGGTAGTAGCTTCATGTTTAGCATACAGATACATAAGTGATATCAATCTTGTCATCATTCAGCAAGTATCTGCAAGTGCAAAAATGCATTTCCCAAGAGGTTGAACGGTTCCTTTAAGAGGAACTCTGTAACCTTCTTATCAAAAGAGCCTATACAAGACAAAGCAAACACATAAATTGATGCTGGGCAATTTACCTGCAGCTTCCTCCAAATGTTCGCCGCACATCTTCCCAGGAGGCCTGTGTGTTGGAATGAAAAGCCTTTGTAGGTCATGATGGTTTAAGTAGCAAACTTAAGACACAAATTCAGACTGTTTTTCAGAAAAGTATTCAACAAGTTCAAAAGCCAGAACTGTATTCAAGTGAGATTTTGTCTTATTGGACGAACCTGCTCTATGTGGCTGTCATCTGCATAGTGCCAGCGCTGGTTCACCCTGTCACGGACGTAGGCAGTATAGTGCCCACACAGTGCGCTACCAGAGTGCACTACCACTGCATACAGAGTGTACTTGCACTCATTCTGGAAGAGCAAATAAAGTTTTAGATGTAAAAAAAAAAAAAAATACAATATCCAGATACTAGATAGGAAATACAATTACCTGGGCAAAGTCTGGTGAGAATCCCTCTTTAACAATCTCAGAGAAGTCAAAGGTTTCTGGAAAAGTAACCCTGCAATAAAGTTTTCGGGTGGAACCACAGCTATTTCGAAACCGTTTCAGGTGCACGCACAAGATACGAGGCAAGGAGAGCAGTTTGAGACCCTGAAAGAGAAATGAAAGAGAAAAAAGTTGATGACTCTGTTTGTTAATATATTTTCGGGTAGCATTTAAACCAAGCCTCACCTGCTTGGATGGAGTCTTAAATCCACATTGCGCACAAAAGCAGCGATTTATGCCCGTCAGCTCCTGCTCCGCTAAGAAGGAGGATATGCAGTCTTCCTGAAAACGTCACATTAAAAATACTTGTAAATTGAAATCCAGGAAAGTTCAAACTATTAGTTTGAGATTTTAGGAAATATGTTTATTTGCTTTCTTAATGAGAGTTAGGTGAAAGTTTTGAGACAACTGTCAAGTCTGTAGGGTAAATATGTAATGGCAGCATGTAGCTGGTTAGCTTAGCTTAGCATAAAGACTGGAAACAGCTACTCTGGCTCTGTCAATAAAAATTCTCCTACCAGCCCATATTAAACATGTTAGATCATATATTTCATGTACAGACATAAGAGTAGTATCAATCGTCTCATCTAATTTTTCAAAAACGGTTTAAAACTATCCACAAAAAAGAAACTGCACCAGAGAGTTGTGGTGATCTTCCTTTATATGCAGAGGAAGACTGAGCAGGTAGCTGGTGTGAGTCTGGACAGAGGTGCAGTTTAAACACCGCAGGTGCGTCTCCACAGAAATCTTGTACAGATTCTTGATTTCAAGAGCCTGGCAGAGAAAGGGAAGTACATTTAGATCACGCACTTATTGGTGAAACATAAAGAATGCTGATGATTACAGACCAACCAGTGCTTTGTCATCCATTTGCTGTTGCATGAGGTTCAGGATGGAGAGGAACACCTCGTCGGCGTCATGCTGCACGTTAACTGCAAAACAACATTCCTGTAGTCACAGGTTGTGAAATAAACCACATCAGTATGAGACATCGACCGTGCAAGTCTGCGGTTCTTACGTCGAACACAGTTTCTGTCCAGGCAGCGGAGGAAGTCTTCATGGGGAACATGCTGAAGACGATCGCTCTTCATGGCTGCGAGAACTCTCTTTAACTTCAGAGGGACATTACCACGGTCCTCTCTCAAACCAGCTGCATCCCACCTTGTGCAATTTATAAACCACCATTAGTTTTTTGTTTTTTTTAGCATTTCTTAAACACCTGAGAAAAGCAGCCTTTTTTCAAAAGTTTTTTTACACATTAAAAGCATTGTTTGCCACTATGTTGTTGCTCTGTCACTTCCTTATAGGCCCGGAATATATCACAACTTCATTATCTTACCTTTCTAGCAGGTCTCCTACTTCCCAGGTAGCAGAGAGGGTCTGCAGTAAAGTGTTGGCACAGCAGGACAGACAGTAGTTGCTGAGGCCTCTCATTTCTGGGACAAAACAGGGAGAAGGTTATCCATCACTGGGTACATCCATCATCAGGTGCCCACCTAGAGGCCCAGGATGCCAATGGGGCTTTGAATGTGCAAAAACACCCACTTCATATATATATATATATATATATATATATATATGTTATTGAAATAAATAAATTAATCATTTATGGAAGAGCCAGCAAGAAACACATTTGGTTCATCGGTTTAAGGTTTTCCTCGCAAACAGGTAAGCCTCAGGGAACGTTCCCTAAAGGTTCCCTAAAGGTTCTCTAAAGGTTCTCTAAAGGTTACACCTTTAGGAAGGTTTGCTGAAGGTTATATTTTTTCAACGTTCCAGGAACGTACGCTAAAGGTTATTTTTGAGGAACTTTGAGGTTCTCTGAAGGTTCTACGAACAAAACCTCCCAGAAGCGTCTTAGAAACACCTTCCAATGCAAACCAAATACGACTACAGCCTAAAACACATCAATAATTGAATTGATACCAGTTTGATACAGAGTCAAAAACAAACCGTAAAGTTAAATTTTCACAACGGCATCATACTTGAGTTTTTCTAGTTACATTCAAAACATATTCAACATCAACACTCATCAACATCACCGATGGTCTGCTTACCGTGGTGGAGGTCCCTCCTGAAGAATGAGTGGAGAAACCCACAGATCCTGTCACTCATAAGGACAGACTTTACTTCTGACAGCGTCAGTAAGGACGTGGGGTTCAGTGGGAGAACAGGAGTCAACGGTTTCGGTCTGTTCCAGTTAAACGCTCCCGTCTGTTTCCTGCGTAAACATCACCGTCACATCAGCTGCTGCACGGGATCACTTTCGTTTTAAAGGTTTCTCCGCGCAGCGTCGCTTCGCTTTGCTGAAATCGAAACTTAAAAGTTGCCATGCGCAGAATGTGAATAAGTAAAGCAGCGAAAAACACATTTATGAGCTTTTTGTGACAATTATTGAATTTACTTTATATCAATAAGATCTATTGCATCTGAAGGCTTCTGAATTGTGATATGTTCCCATAGTATCTTAAATATACACAAATTGAGCCTATACATATGCAGATTTTTTATTTTTAACCTTTTCCAGTTGTTCCAGTAGTTGTTTACTACAGTCGTTTAAGTCTGAATAACTTTCAAAAGACATAAACCACAAAATCAAACTGGAATCTTCATTTATTATTAGATTTTATTTGCATGTATTTGTTGTCATGTTGCTTGTAGTGGTATATATACTGCCATTATTTTGACCTCTGATGCATTCACCATGGAATGACTTTGCTATTTTATTATCAGTCTGTGTTATAGGTGATGTAGGTGCAGCTGCTGAAAAATCTCAGTCAATCATTGTCCTGGTTAAATGAAGTACTGTAATTATGATGTTGCCTCATGATGGAAAATCTGGTCCTGCAACCTTCAGGATGTGTGAGTCAGGACCTGAGGTGAATTTATGGGAGTGGAAGAGTTCAGTGATGTGCACACTAAAGGCTGAAAAAACATCAGCCTCTCACAGTCTGTGGAACATCTTGACAGTATCACAAGTCTGTGGTTTGTAGCTAAAAAAAACAACACCGCAGGAAATGTTCTTGTTCCTTTGTTGATTTTCATAGGGGCAAAGCCATGTTCTCTCAAAAAAAGAAAAAAAAAAGGAGTCAAAAAACAATGGACAGAGTGTAAGGTAGTTTTCTGTCTTTTACAGTCCTTTGCTCTGAGGGAGAGAACGGGAGTACGGTGCAAACATGGAACTCCACATCTGTTTGAGCATCTGAAGAAGTTTGGAAATCCACATGAATGAAGACGGGAGAGCTGCGGGAAAAGAACAGGAAGAAATGCACCAATTTATTCTTAATCAAATGTTTTATATTTCAACAATACCTGTGTTGGCTGATAGTGACATACAAAGAGAATTTTACCCAACCTGGATCCATTTGGACAAAGAGCATGTAGAGAAGGACAGCTGCCAGAAAGATTCTCTGTAGACTGAATGAGCCAGACCCGGCTACCCTCAGTTTTCTGTATAAAAAACTGAGCATGGCTTCAAGTTTACGGATTACAGCACCTGTAGAACACGAACACACTCAGAAATGCTGTCTGCATTTAATATTTGTACTTCAATGATTTATTGAAATGCATCTAATCAGGAGCTGAGCTGAAATTTGTGACCTTTAGTTGAGACGGTATGTGCACTGATCTCGGAGTTTGGGCTGCAACCAGGACTTAGAGGTGGTTCTTGATTCTGCTGCTCTTTTTCTACTACAACATCCAGCGCTGTCTGTCTCTGGTCTTCTGTGAAGGCACCGCTTCCAACCTCGCCAACGATCAACTCCCGAGCCTCCTCCGTGTGTCCCAGAGGCACGAGGACGTGCAGCAAGTACAACTCTGCGACGGTCCCGAACCCTGATACTCTGCTGTTGGACGGGCTGTGTAACCAAACTCTGGCTGCCTCCTGCATCACAGCTGACTCACCCACCTTAGAGTAAAGAAGTATGCTGCCAAAATGAGAGAGAGAGTAGATTCAATATGCATTTTAGAACTGAAGTGATTAGTCCATTAACTGATTAGTCAACAAAAGATTATTTTGAAAACCTTTGTGATAATCGTTAATTGTTTCAGTCATTTTAAAAGCAAAAATGCCAAATAATCTTTAAATGTGAATCTATATGATCTGTTTTTCTTGTCATATAGGATAGTAAATTCATGTTTGGGTTTTGGACTGTTCAGATCAAACATGAAAACTGAAGACACCACCTTGAGTTTTGATACATTTTTTCACTATTTCCACAATTGATTTTAGTTAATTCATTAATTGAGAAAATAACAGTCAGATTAATTGACAAGTGATTAAGTGACAAATAATCAAGTTGATGCATTGCCTGTTCAATGGTCCAAAATCTAAAAATATTCAATCTACATTAACTAAAAAAACATAAATTGATGACGCTTCACTTTAACAGGGAATAGTTGACAATTTTCACTCTAGCCTATAACTCACTTGAACAATTCATCCGTTACTCAGATTTGTTGTTAAATAATTTTCTGTTGACCTAATGGATTAATGGACTGATTGTTTGAGCTCCACTCACCACATCTGCATTATTTTTGCTGGTATTTTCTCTGGGTGCTCGTACTGCTGAAGGACCCAGGAGAGGACACCCTGCCACTGATTCAGCTCCGCCAGGGCTTGAATCCCTAAGATGCAGAAACCAGCTTTCAACTCTCCGCACCTGAGGAGGCAAAACACACAAAGTCACAGTTACACCAACATCCAAGCTGCACGGAGCGTCCATGGTGCGAGCTTCAGACTTTCACCTGTTGTCCTCTGAGTCCATGCTGGCGAGACTCTGCAGACCTCTGTCGCAGGAGTCAAAAGCCGCCTGGAAATCCTTGTGGACCATCATCTGCTCTGCAGCCGCGTCCAACATGTTGAACATTTGTGTGAAGGCAGAAGAGAGCGGAGAGAGGACTGCTGACCGAGCTGCTAACCAGCTGGTCACGACAAATTTAAGAGAAAAACGACGGACACAACTGACTAATTACAATGCCAAGAGATACTGCTTCACGTTTAGCAGCTAAGTTTATAGCTGGAAGCTAAATAAACCTGCGAGGAGCGTTAATATGTACGTTATATTCTCCTTAAAACTTTTTGTTTACAATCCGCGATCCCTCCATCTTCCTCGCTTGACGCCACCGGCCAATCAGACGTCACGGTCTTCAGATCGGCTGTTGTAGCCAATCACGTTGCAGGTTCTTCCAACTCACGTCATTGCGTTTTTTTCCTCGTCTTGTAAACACGTGTACACCGTGGTGTGTGTGTAAATTTAAAAACCTACCTCAAACTACGTGTTGATAACGTAAGTAACACTTACTGGTTACACTGTGGAATATTTCTAACAGAATTTAGCACGTCTAATTAGCTACCGTTAGCTTTAAGGTGTGTGTTGTTGCGAAATAATCCATGGTAGCACCTGGATAGCTAACTAGCTAGCAAACTTTACTGAGCTTGCTATGGTATAAATTAACTCCAAAAGTAATTGGAGTGGGTGTAGTTAACTCATACAAAGTCATGTCATGTAACTACAACGAATTAGCGACAATGTATAGCCTTAACTTTATATTCAGGTGATGTGTGGGCAAATATGTCCTATCTGTGATCTCGTGTCATGTAAATCGTGAGAACGTTCCTTCTTTTACATTAGTAAACCACTATTAAACTACTTTGTGTTGAAATTTATATACATGAGGAAGTTATCATCAAAAACAAAGTGATGGAGAGTTTAAAGAAAGTATAAGCTGTCCAGTGAGCTGACATGTTAAACATCACATAAGAACATAATTTCTCTTTATGAAAAAATAAGTGTAGGATCCTAAAGAACTGCCTGTCATGACCATATTCAATTTACCAGTAACATCACTGTCTATAGAGGGTTCTGTCATGTATGACTGACATGTTATTGTTTCCCCTCAGAACATCCTCAAAATGGCAAAAAGCCTACGGAGCAAATGGAAGCGGAAGATGCGCAAGCAGAGAAGAGGAAGAAAAATGCTCCTAAGGAGCTGGCTCGTCTGAAACAAGCTCTGAATCTGGACAAGAAAGGAGAAGCTGCCATGACTGATGTGCAGGAAATCGCCACTGTGGTGCCAGCTGACAAGATCAAGAAGACGGATGTTGACATGGCAGAGGCAGAGGGTGACGGTGAGGGACTGCTTGAGCACAACATGGTCCACAGGGATAAACAGCTTTAACGTTGTGGCTTTTTACAGTGTTTGTAATAAAAGACTCAGACCAGGTTAACTTTTTGCATTATTCTTGGTTAGTTGAGAAGCTGACATCAAGCTACAAAGAGTTAGAGGAGCACAATTTTTTACATCATACACTGAGCACTTGACATTGATGAATATTGTGTTACTTCTGTCGGTCAGTTTGACAGTGAGTGCCTCCAACAGTGGGACTGTACGTAAATGATATTACCATTTTGTTTTTGTGGAATGTTTATTTATTAAAATCTTTCTAATTTAGCCAATCTTTGCCTTTTGTGTTCCAGATGGGAAGATGGACATGGATAGCAAGCGCAACAAGGCAACACTGTTGGATGAAAATGGACAGTACCCTGCGTGGATGAGCCAGCGGCAGGCCAAGAAACTGAAAGGCAAACGGATGGCGAAGAAAGGCGGCAAGGGCAAGAAGAAGGGTATCGCCTGGTGAACCTGAGGAGACCAAAAGACCTTTGCTTTGCTTTAAAGACTTTTGATGCAGAAACACAGGAGGATCATTTCATGTATTGATTAATGCGTGATAACTGTCACCTTCTGTTATTGGATCTCATTCACTTCAGTGGATTACAAGATTCATGGTCGTGCCACAGAGCCTGTTATTGTAAAGTAATTCACTGAAGGAGCGTGTTTGTTCTTATGGAACAGCAGCACCACCTTAATGTTAGGAGGCAAGTTTTAACAAAATAAGACTCGTACAAAATGTGTCTCCCCTTAGCTCGTCTTAATACATCATAACAGTGCAGGTGATAGGTATATATTCTCTACTACAATTTAAATCTTTTCATATTCTGATAAAAAAAAAAATGATTTACAGATTCATGTCTTGCATTGTTCAATATAGGTATTTGGTTAAAGGGGCAGCCTCGTGGCTCAGGTTCAACTTGAGGGAGACTGAGGACATTTGTTGCATTTTCTCTGCTCATTTCGTGTTATCTCTGTTGTCAGACTTTAAATTAATGCAGAATATTTTTCAGATTTTGCTGCATTTGCCACGATATAGAAGGTATATGCAAAACCATTATTGAATGAACTGTGTTGTAGATAAACCTTTCACATGTAAAAACAGTAACTTCATTTGTTTTGTTTTTTCAGTTTTTAACAACACTTTGTTTCACCACATATGATCATGATTAACTACAATTCCAGTGAAAAATGATAACAGCTCTAATGTTACTGTAAATTGACATTGATGAAACATGGATAGTAATAAAGGATGTTGCTGTACAAACAACACAAAGGCGCCTGCCTATAGAATATTTTATTGACTTCAAGATACAAGATGTAACTCCTTGCCATTAACATTTGGTGGTCATAAAACCCTAAGACACTCCTTGCCACAGACCCCAAGCGAAATGTTACAGTAAAAGGTTTGAAATCAGCTGATCAGAATGCTTTTTGGCACAAGTTTGCTGTGCTCAATTACATAAATACAGTTAAATTTCTTCTGTCGAAAAAGCTTGTGCAAAGAAAAAACCCAACTGCCTGAGAATGACGCTCTCTACATCAGCTGAACGTAAGCAGCCGGGAACAGACCGATGCGTCCGTTACAGTTTCCCTTCCACCATCCTTCATCGATCATTTCTATGTTGGTGATCTCATCACCTGGGTTGAAGGAAACCTCATCATCCGCCTCTGTGGAAAAGGAACAACATGATTTGTAGATGCAAGCGTGGAGTTGATCATTAAATGTCAAAATATGAAAATGTGAAGAAGTGTCCTACCTCCCTCATAGTCGTAAAGTGCTAAAGCCTTCTGGCCACATGTCAGGTCTTCGTAATCGTTGTCCGCATCTGTAAAAGAAAACACTGAAATGAACCGAGTGTTTCATATGTGAGAGCGCCGACGTTTAACTGCGGCCGACTCAGACACAGACCTGTCGATGGAGGAGGAGGTGGTTCAGCTAGGTCCTCGTACTCCCCTTCATCCACGTCCACCTCAGTTGACCTGTGAGGTAGTGGCGGGGCGTCCTGTTCAAGGAAATCCTCTGAGTGGGGCTCGTCGTATATCGCTTCATCCTTGAAACATCAGCAGAATATCTTTGATTTCATGATCTCAAATCCTGGAGATGACCTAACAAAACTTACAATCTTAGCCCCAGTTTTTTTACCTCTCGTGTATTAGCGTTACGTTTGAGTCGCAGAGCAAAGCATCTGTTTTTCTGAGCTGTTAGTCTCTTTGAACCATCTGGACTGAGACAGTTCTGTATGACATCCCTCGGCTTTTTAGTCATTAACAAAAACTATTTGTCCCTTAAGATTTATGTCTTCATTCAGAACCAATGGGCTTAGGGCTGAGTGAGAGATGTACTAACACATTGTTGGTTTTGGTCTTTTCATGACATTTGATGACAATAACAAAATTATAACCTTATCCTTTAAACAAATGAATCAAATTAAACTATTATTTGGTACAACTGACGTTTGATTGAATCAGTGTCTTACCTCTGCCTCTGGCTCTGGCTCTGGCTCTGGCTCTGGCTCTGCTTCTGGTTCTGGTGTTTCATATACCTCTGGCCTATGGTGGTGTATTTCTGGTTGTGGCGTGTCATACTCTGGAGCCACGTCTGGAACAGGTGGTGGACGAATTTCCTCCTCTCTGCTGCTCTGTTCCTACAGGAAAACACAAAACGGTCACAAATACGGTCACAAATATGCATATTAACCTGTAATTAAATTTTCCCTCTTTACATATTTACAGTGCACGTTTTTACCTGCTGTCTGCGTTTGGCCTCCTCTCGCTCTCTCTTCTCTCTGGCCTGTCTCCTCGCTCTCTCTTCTTCTACTTTCTTCCTGTTCTCTTCGTCTGAAGCCTTGGCCATGCTCTCAAAACGTGCCTTCAGCTTTCCTGCACCTGCACTTGCTGCATGAAACAGATAGACATTTATATGTGATATATGTGATATGTATATATGTATATATGAGTGCAGTGCATTGGCAGTGACCTCTGTCCAGTTTCCAATGGTTTGAATAGAGAAACAACTCAACACTTGTGGATTTAATGGGGTTGTTTAGAGGAAGAAAATGAACATACAGGCCTCCAATGGTTGTGTCTTTTCATAAGCAGAGGAAGGGGAGTCCATATCTGAGAAGCCGGCTGCGCTCTAGAAGAAGAAGTACTCATTTAGAAAAGTCAAAAGAGACAATTATCATTCAGCTTTCAGTCTTTCAATCCAGGTTACTGCTGGAATGATTAGTCAATTAGTCGATAAGTAAAATGGCAGACAAAATGAACAATTAAAACAATTAATTAGTAATTTTTCAAGGAAAATGATTTGCTCCTTATCCGTGTTTTTGTATTGTCAAGTATAGCAAATATAACATCACACACTCCTGCCAATAAGTATATTTGATTTGATTTGATTTGAATTAGAGCCCAGTTCAACATCTCCCAATTAAAAACTGTGTTCTAGGAAATTGTGATGGAATTGTTCTACTATTTAATTACAGTTTACAGAAAAAATAATTCATCAATTAACCCTGGCAGATTAATCAAGAATGAAAATAGTGAGTTGCTAATACTTTGGCTAATACTGACCTTATCCATGCGATCTGCCTGTACTCCATAGCGACCACCAAAACCTGCTGAATAATCTAAACAGAGATAAATTTGTTCAGCCTGATGAACTGTAAGTCCTCTGATAATTCTTTATTCTACATGCGTAGGTGTTGTCTCACCTTTTTGAGACTGATGTTTCTCCGTCTCACTCTTATAATCATAGCCCAGCGCTGCTTTATCTACTTTCTCCTTCTCAATGCCAAACTTCCCTCCAAATCCCTTTGAATAATCTGGTGAAAATTAACAAAGAATAAAGTGAATGGATCTGAAGCAAAAACGTGTCCAAACGGACAAATGCTACAACCTAAACTCACCTTTCTGTGACTGATGCTTCTCAGTTTCTCCTTTATAGTCGTATCCCAAAGCAGCTTTGTCCACTTTCTCCCTCTCCACCCCGTACTTTCCTCCAAATCCCTTCGCGTAGTCTGTTGAAAATAACAAATGCAAAATAAAGCAAAATCTGAGGCCAATTGTGTCAAAACTGGCAAGTGACACGGGTTAAACTCACCTTTTTGTGACTGGTGCTTCTCTGTCACGCTTTTATAGTCGTACCCCAAAGCGGCCTTGTCGACTTTTTCCTTCTCCACCCCGTATTTTCCTCCAAATCCCTTGGAGTAATCTACAACCATAAAAGATTGTCAGGAACATGTTGAATTATAACTTCTACCTTCTGTTAAGTAAGAAAAGGAGAATATTGTATATTAGTAGCTGGACAGTTGACCTACCTTTCTGAGATGCATGTTGCTGCGCTTGCTCTTTGTAATCAAAGCCCATGGCAGACTGCACAGATAACACAGAGACTGTATTTAATAATAATAAACAAATAAATAAGAGATTACGTTTATTAGATAATAATAAACGTAATCTCTATCGCACCTGTCATACAATGCTTAAAATGCAGCTCAAAATACTTTACATCATATTGCATAAAAACATTTAGACAAATAGACAAATTATAAGGTGGCAAACAAAACAGTAAAATACAACAGAACAGAGGAGAATAATACATTTTAAAAGGAATTAACAGAAGTTGCATGTCAGATATTCATGGGCAGGTTGTTCTATAGTTTTAGTCCATATTAACACAAGGCTGCCTCTCTATATGTATTTGTTTTTGTACAGAGTAAAGAGGAAGAGACAGTCTGCAAAGTATGGAGGTGCTAAATCATTCAGAGCCTTGTAAGCAAGTAATAAAATTTCTAAATGGATGAATGGAGTCAGTGCAAAGATGCTGAAGTAGGTGTAGTGTGCTCTTCTTTCTAGTTTCACAAGCTGTGAGCAAAAGAGTCCACTTATCCTCTAACCTTATCAACACGGTCTTTCTGAACACCAAATTTCCCGCCAAACCCTCGTGCCGCATCTGTCTGGGAAGAGTGCTGCTCAACCTGTGCCACATAGTCGTGACCCTTAGCCACCTGGACAGAAGAGACACATTCATGAACAAATTCAGCCCGTGGTTAATATAAGCAGGTGATGCAGAATAAAGGACAAAATAGATCAAATCTGGCAGGACATGAGAGGAGAGTATCAAAAAGTTGTTAACCTTGTCCATTCGGTCCTTCTCCACTCCAAACTTCCCTCCGTATCCATAGGATGCTTTGGGAACGTGCTCTTTCTGCTTCACCTGCTCATGCTCCACAGCCACCTTGCTTCTGAGCTCTGCAACACTGGCAGGTAACGCAGGGGTCACACATACTGACATCAAAATGGCTGTGCACAGAATTGCGCACCAGTACATATCCTGCTAGTGATATTTGTCCTTTGAAACTTGGGTGATTCATCAGTATTATCGCAAATACTCTTTACTTTAAAAGACAGAATAGGTGAAAGTGTAGTATACTTGTCGACACAGCACTATGTTGAATACATCAGTCTCTGCATATGTGTTTTGACATCGTTAGGGAACAATAGAGCCTGGTTAAAGTTGTGACTGTATAAAGAGATAAATTAAGTGTTAAGATTCAAAACCAAGAAGGTTCTTCTTATTAACGACTTACAACTTTATAAAGGGGAAGCAAAACTAGTAAACAGTGTGTTATTCCTATATTCAGCACGACTGCCTGAATTTATGGTCCCTTCATGTCAGCAGTGGTTTAAATGTCACTGTCAGTGTCATCATCATATATTACCCATATTAGGAGACAGTCGCTGCCTGACAGCCTGTGCTCTGCTCTCACTTCCTCTTCCTGTTCCTACGCAGCACCCATCTTCTCTACCCATCTCCTTCTTCTACGCAATCGTTTATCTCCAGAAACAGGTTCTGCACCTTCGTACCTGATGTGTTCTTTACGTCCCGAGCCCTCGATGGTCTTGGCTCCCCACCGCTGCTCCTGCTCTGACACGTCATTCTGAAACACAAAGGTACAGACTGAGGATGACACACGAGGCTGCGTGAGGGGTTTTTGCACCGACATATATTTTCTCCACAGTACCTCAAAGTCAGGGTCCGTCTCCCAGTCGTCCCCCTCTGCAGCCACCTTCATGCTCACATTGTGGCCCACGACTGACTTCCACATCTGTGGGGGAATTAAAACGATATAAGCAAAACAGGACAGTTACATTCAAGACAGCATTTAACAGTGATTAATGGCCTGTTAATGTGTCCATACATGCACATATTCAAAACTGTCACACTTTATTTATTGCGATTATGGTACAACCACAATGCTCTGACCACCACTTCCTGAAGTATCCAAAAAGGAAGTTAAGATATATTCAACATGAAACTTTATTTCCCCATAATGAAACACACTCAAAGTTCTCAGGTTGTAAAATGAGAAGAAAACACAGCATCATAACAACAAAGCATTTAAGATAATTATATGACTTTATATTTTATAGAGCATAAAATCCTCTGGTAACATTACTTCAAGAGGGAGACTTAACATATGTTGAGAATTAATGCTAGGCTATTAATTGTCAATTTCATTTTAACTATAATAAAAAAAAATTGTCATATTTTACTATCATCAAGTGGTAGCTGTATGTTAGTAAATATAGTAGAAATAATACTGGACATACAGTGCAGGTGCACGTTAAGTTAGAAAAGCTATCTAATGTTAGCTAATGTTAGTCTTACTGTATTGTTTTAGCATTTTGAGGAAGTCTGTCGCATCTATAGCTGCATTAAACTTTGGGTCATACTTGAACTAACGGTCAATTGTACAATAGTTTAGACTTCGTCTAGCCAACTTCCTTAATAAAACTGACACATGAACAAGATAAAAGCACATAAAACATAACAGCACTGCTCGTTGAGTTAGTTTAAAGAATAAAATAACGTTACCTTTGACTCGTCAGCGCAGGAATATCCGTGTTTAGGTCGATATTTCAACCACAAAGTCCTCCTCAGTTTTTTTTCACACAGGCTGTGACAGTCTGATGGGCGACACAAGAACGAGCATCCAGTGCACGTGAACGCGCGTTAATGTAAATTGAACAAATGTCATCCCTATTTGTCATGATTTCACTAATAACCGACAACGGATTTGCCACTGTTGACGTGTTAATCATTATTTAAATACATTTTTTAAAATAAGAAAATAAATAAATAAAAATGTTGCATTCAAGTGCTCTCGGGAATTTAAGTATTCGCCCCCCAGTTTTAGGATAGGCTACAGGAGCTGCTGCAACTACTTTAGACCTGTTAAACACACTGATACTGACTATAATGGGCTGTCATTTGTAGTCACATTCTTACCTTAAAGTTTTATTTTTTGTATGAGCAGAACTTGAATGCAGAAAGGGCTGTGATTTAGCCAGTTGTTGTGTAGTTGAAACACTTGGGGGCAGACTCGCACAGCTTTAACAGCAGTAAGACTCAAGAACCATAATGACTAAAACATAAATTCATAGTCAAAAGTTTGGCTTGTTTTTTGTAAGGAGAGCATTTTGAAATAGGCTTTTTTGTACATGTTCAGATGTGAGTCATGGCTCAAATCTGTCAAATTATCTGGACAAATAACAGATAGCCAAAAATATCCATGAAACCTGGTTCAAGCACGTCAGTTACTATTCAACAGTTCATTTCCCTCCAGAAAATTTCACATCCTGCATAAAAATCTGAGATACACTTCATTTGAAGCTGTAGCCTTTCATTGAGCAGTTATTTACTATTTTCACTTCCATGTTGTTTTTTAATTCTGTACTATGATCATTGATTATTGTTGCAAAACCTTTTATTATTGACTTGATTTATTATCATCCAAACTCCTCAAGACTGAGTCAAAACTTGCTCTTCACTTACACTTAGAAATATTGTTTTATCTAAAGCTTTAAAAGTGGTAGTGTGTTTATATAATTCTTCCTCCCATAAAGAGAAGCATTTTAGTGTTTTAAAGGCCAGCATTTAATTGTGTGCATTTCAAAATGTTACAGTATGTCACTATTTCACTAGACTGGCATGAACCTGAGCTTCACATTAACTATCAGAGGTTGTGGTGACCGAAAGCACGGTCAGATCAACAGCCTTTCCATTCATCAGTGTTTGTTTATAACGCAAAAATCAGTGATTAAACCGTTTATTCTTCAGTATTTCACAGATAAAAGGAAAAACAGTGTTACCATTTGCTGAACTGAAATTAAAATTAACTGAGCCCAAATAAACATTAAACAAAAGTCCTAATGTAAGTTTAAAAAAAAAAAAGTCCCATTGTCAGTTTTTTTTCTAGACACATAAATGAGTAAATAATTAATGCTTGACAAGATCGGTCCCTGATCTAAACCACCAACACTTTTAATTACATTTTATTCTTCTATACAGCCCTTTTAAACAGTTATTTACAGCTGTGTGTAAGATGTGAAGAACATTAATTTAGAAAGACGGTGAGTACAGAGTGATTCAACAAGAGTGTAGATAGTGGAGAATTTGACAATCTCAACTTAAGATGAATAAATTATGCTACATCAGAGTAGTCTATAATGGGATGGATATCAGTTTAAAACAGCAGTCTTCCTCCTCTGGAATGAATCCACACTGTGGTTACATTGCACCTTAAGGCAACTTCATCTGCCATAAAAACTACACAGCAAACTGTAAAATCTAAATCTGTGCAACAGAAGCATGGACAGGGAATCATCCCGGACATGAAAGAGGGAAAACCCACATCCAGCTGACAGATGATACAGGTACATATGTACAAATAATGTGATTTATATAAGAGGAAAGTAAAAGACAATGAAAACACACAAGAGGAATGTGTAAGAACAGAAATTGCACTGTGCTCCGTTTTTTGTGCATTAAATGAGTAGAGGAGGAAGAGACTGGACTATAACACCCCGTCCTGAACCTCAAGCCATCTTAACAGAACAGGTCAACTTTTTGGGAAATGCACTTATTCCCTTTCTGGTGAGAGTTAGATGAGAAGATCCACACCACGCTCATGTTTGTCTGTTAAATATAAGGCTACAGGAAGCAGCCGGTTAGCTTAGCACAAGGACGGGCAACGGGGAAAATCTGTTGGACGGAAGAAAGTACTCTTTCATTTCAACTTAAGTAAAAGTACCGTATTATCAGCAAAATGTACTAATGACTCTCATCCTCCTGTGACTCATATCTGATTATATCTGACTTTATTAGATTGCTAATACTGATGCATTAAGTAGCTTTTTACTGTTGTAGCTGCTCCAGGTGGAGCTGGTTTTAACTGCTTTATACACAGTTAGTTTAGTCCAGTGGTTCCCTACCTAGGGGTCAGGCCCCTCCAAAGGGTCACCGGATAAATCTGAGGGGTCATGACATAATTAATGGGAGAGGAAAGAAGAAAGAAAAAAAACAAACAAAAAACTAATTTGTGATACAAAAATCTGTTTTCAGTTTTTGGAATATTCTCTGATCTTTCACCGTTTTCAGTGAAATTGTGGATCATGTTCCTGTTTGGGCCTCAAACCGTTTTTTAAATGAAACCATCTGAGAAGTTTGGAACTTTTAAACTCTTAAAATACAGTGTCTTATGTTTTTCATTTAAAATCTCGGTCTTTAATGTAACATGTAGCGATAGCTGTTGGATGAATGTAACGGAGTAAAAAGCACAATATTTACCTCTGAGATGTAGTGGAGTAGAAGTATGAAATAGAAATAAAAAATACTCAAGTAAAGTACATGTAACTCCAGTACTTGAGTAAATGTACTTAGTTACTTTCCACCATGAGAAACAGCTACCCTGGCAGTTTGTCATTTTACACGGATTACACAAATTAGACGATAACTGCTAATTAGTGAGATTTAGAGGTGCTTTTTTTGTAACCATTTGACAGAACCAGGCTGGCTGTTTCCCCTGTTTCCAGTCTTTGTACTAAGCTAAGCTAAGTAAGTTAGCCTTATATTTAACAGAGAGACAGAGGTATCAGTCTTATCAGTCTAACGGTTTAACAGTAACACGGTAACACTCTCATTTTGGACATTTCCCTAACATCCCAAAAAATTTTACTTAGTAAAGTAAAGTAACCCTTTTATATCCAAATCTAAAGGCACACGAACAGCACCATCTGCCAAAATATTTGATTACGAATCGCCTTTGTCTTTTTTTTCCCCCCTAAACTGCAGGTAAAAGGAAAGGAGGAAAATTTATAGTTTGTCCCTTATGTCCTCTCTGCTTGGAAAAACCTGTCATACACACTCAAAGTCACACAAGATCAAAATGAATAAAATTAATGACAACAGCTCCTTACATAAATCTATATACTTTGGATAACAGTTTAAGTCCTGTAAAGTGCGTGTATGTGTGTGTGTGCACGTGCGTGTGTGCGTGTGTGTGTACAATAGCCTTCACACCCTTTAATTTATTACAAGTAACAATATAAAACATATTGATGGCTTGGGTTAGGTCTGTGTCACATTTCCATTTTCTCTCCCCTCCTCTCTCTCTCTCTCTCTCTCTCTCTCTCTCTATCTTTCTCATGTGTCTTATCTTTCAGGGTTTGTCAGAGGGAGCTGGTTTCAGAGGTATCCGCCCAGACACAGCAGCAGCAGGACGTGCACAGTGAGCAGATAGAGGCTGAGCAGCAGAGGGGTACGTTGGCGAGAGCAGAAGGCCACTCGGAGCATCCGCATCAAGCCCGGGCCGCCTCTCCGAATCTGCATGAGTAAGAAACACAAGGTTGCAGGAAACATTCGGCTCGTGAGTCTTTATTATTACAGTTATTGAAGATGACAAATTAGCTGGTACAGGACATTAGTGGAACCTTACTCGAGTGACAGCTCCTTCCGGCGGCTCGATAAAGACAGCAGTCTCAGAGTGATCCCCTTCTTGTGCAATGTGCCATTTAGCCTGGCTGTGGCTGATAATAAGAATAAAAACAGATGTTAGCTGTCAGATTCTGTTGATTAAACAAATTCATCAGAGCCCAAAAAGGGACAAGATGAATTATAGATGCAGATAAACTCAAGAGAAAGCGTATGACAGCACTGTTTGCCAGCTGTTTTCACCTAATATGATCCTTAGTCTCAACATTATACAATTAGAAAAATCTAATTAAGGCCAAATTAATAGTCAACGTCTCTAATAACATTAACATGTGGAAGAGCAGCATGATACAACATGGAATATGAACTGGAGCCTAAAGTCATCACGTGCAGTCTTGCCATGTGTACTGTGTATTTATAGAGTTTATAGTACCACTTTTATTTTTCATGGTTTTTGTTATAAACGCTTGATGCTCATGATGTATAAAGTTTTCTAGTTTTATTCCTTTACAAGCTGCTAACAAATCGCTGACATATCATCACACATCTTTCAAGTTGCAGTTATTTATCATGCACAACATTAGGATTCATGTTTGTGTCCAGGTGACAAATCTAAGTCCATTATTCACTCTCCTTTTAGCTCAAACAATCAACTCCTGAGGGACGTATCAGGCTCCTTCGCTGCTAAATGCTTCACTTTGTTCCCCAGCGAGTTGACAAACTGCGTGTCTGTAGTTTGGTGCTGGGGCAGGCAGTGAACAGTGGGTTCATCAAAGTTTTTTTTTTTTTTTGCTAAAAACAGCTGCCTGGAAACAGCTTTGATGAGGGAGGTTAGACCGAACCAAAATAGTAAAATTAAAATTGGGCCAGAAGCCCCTGAGCTTTGATTTCCCTGCGCATGACCAATAAAGTTTTTATCTCTTTTATCACGTGTCATATTTCATACCGTTTGAGTCTGTCCTGTGTGACCATCAGCTGTTCCTCAGCAGCCACCCTCTGCTGCGTCTCTTCATCTAGCCTGAAGCAGAGACGGTAAATAATCTGTAAGATACGTCCTGCCAGTTTGAAAAACTCTGCTAATGTGCGATCCATACTTTACCTCCGCTGTAACTCTTTGACCTCAGCTATGAAGGCGTGGCTGTCTAGCAGGCTGCTTCGCTCCTGTGGGGCTCCGGGAGGACTGTCCACTTTGTCTGTGCTCTTTGGGAAGATAATGACATTGTGGAGATAATTCACGTTAAATGCAAAATCCTTATCCTACCTCTTCTGATTTTATAGTTTTTATGATGCTTTCAGTGAGCCAAAGTTCTGGATCAAACTAAAACACTTCTAACACCACTTAAGGTCCAGTTGTTTATAGCCAATGTGCGACATGATCTGAAACTATAAGCAGAAGAATGACACAAATACTGACAGCAGCGGGCTCCCTAAGAGGGGCCCAAGATAAATCTGAAATGCCACTAGAGTAACTTTAGATTAAAGGGATGAGAAGGACAGTTTTTGTCCAGAAGCTGTGACAAGTGCTCATTTTAAAAGACTAAAAAGGTTGGGAACCACGTATGTAAAGAAAGTGTTTTAGCAACGCCACTATGTACAGAATATACCGCTACCTCTCTTTGATAGTGTTCCTGCTGAAGTTTAGGCTGGTGAGTGCGAGCTTCCTCCAGCATAGCGGTGAGTTGTCGCAGTTGTTGGTCCCTCTCTGAGAGTGTGGCGAGGGTCTGCTGCTTCAGCTGCTCTGCTTGAGCCATCCAGTCGATTCGCTCCAGCCTGACACACACACACATAAAAACAAAAAAAACAAGACACTCAGACTCACAGACAATAAATCAAAGACTCCTTTTGTCAGTTTGCCTCGTCAAAATCAGACTAAAATGCCTGTGGTGTGTCTCACCTGAGTGTCTCCGTTTCCTGCTTGCCCATTTGCACCACATTCTCCAGCTGTGTTATGACACCCAGCATGTCTTCGTTCTTGTTCTTCTCCTCAAAAAGCTCCTGGCTGACTTTAATCAGCTCCCCTGCTCCCAGCCGAGCCAGCTCCGATTTCTGCTTCATGAGCTCAGACGTTTGTGTTTGAAGCTGCTCCAGCTGCACAAAAGGAAGGAAAGACAAGAAATATCCATAAGAAAATCCATAAAAAAACGACGTGTTTCTATTAATAGTTTTTGCATTAATAGATGCAAACCACTGCAATGGTTTGTTTTGAACTCTTGTAATATGTGTGTTTAAAATTAAAATATATCTTTAGTGGCAGAAACGACACTCACCAGTCTCTCCCTGTCATTTTGAAGGGCTTGTAGTGCATTCTTCAGGCCCCACACTTCTCCAGTAGAGCCTCCGGGGCTGCTGTGAGTTGCAGGGCCACCTGCTTTGCTCATCTCTTCCAGCTTCAGGCTCAGTTCCTGGGCCTTGTTTACTGCCTGCTCCCTGCTGTCCTGGAGGGAGGCCATGGCTTTAGCGAATGACTGGTTCTCTGACCTCAGCTGCGTCGAAGCTTCTTTCTCCTCTAGCAGCTTTTGCTCGACAGCCAGCAGGTCTCGGGCCAGCTCCGCCACCCTCTCCTGGGCGCTCTCAGACTCTGTCCGCATCACACCTCCCTCCCATCGCAGCTCAGCTAGCTCTTTGCTCTTGCTATCCTGCTCTTGTCTCTCCCTTAATAAAGTCTCCTCTAAAGTCTCTACTTGCTCTCTTGCTGCCTGCAGCTGCTCCCTCAGCTTCTCCACCTCTGCACCAGGAGCATCTATCACCTGTGATACTGTCCCACTATCAGCAGCCTGACGAAGAGTCTCCCTCTCCACTTTCACTGCTTCTACTTCTGCCTCTCCGGCTCCACTCACACTCTTTAACTGACTTTCCAATTCCTCTCGCTCCCTTTCTAGAGACGTGATCCGCTCTCTCTGAGCTGCCAGAAGCTGTTTATGTTGGGAGTCCTTCATGCTCAGGACCTGGTTAAGTTCATCACGATAGCCGTGAAGCTGAGCGGACAGCTTGGCCTTTTCAGCGTACAGGTCGTCTCTCTGGACCAGCAGAGAGCGCAGCTCTTCCTTCAGGCTGTTGTTCTCCCCTGCTGCCTCCTGGATCAGACCATCCTTCTCCATCATCACCTGGCGTGAGACAATACAATTATACTGGCCACTAAGAAAAAACATACAAGTAGTACACATGTTATATATTTTTTTTTGTACATTACCTGCAGGTGTTTCTCCTCCAGCTGTTTGTACATGTTGAGGACTCTGTCTCTGTCATCCTGCAAGGAGCTCATGGCCTTCATGAAAGAGTCCAGTTTGGTTTTTCGGTTGTTGCTCTCTTCCTCTGCCTTTCGCAGTTTTTCTTCCAGATCCCGCACTTCTCCTCTTCTCTGCTCCAGCTCCCCCTCAGCTTCTTGTGCTCGACTGTCCGCCTCTTTTCTGGCCTCGTCAGCAGCCTGGGAAATAAAACACATATGAATGGCGAAGAATTTGTTAAGAATAACTAAAAGCTGCAATTATTTCTCTTATTAAACATCGATGAAAGGGCAAAACAATATATATTATGTTCTGTAATTGAATAAACGTTAATACCTGAGCAACAGCTTGTTCCTTCTCCCCCAGCATTTCCACTTCTCTCTTTTCCTTCTCATGTAACTCAGTCTGCAGACTCTCTGTCAAGGCCTTAGAGGACCGCAGGTCTGTCTCCAGTTGCTCCACGTTCAGGCACAGCCGTCTCTCTTCCGCCTCCCTCTCCCTCAGCTCAGTCCTGGCCTGGTCGACTTCACCCTGCAGCCGACCCACAGCCTCCTCCAGAGCCTGGACTCGGTGACGAAGACCCTCCAGCTCATCTGTAAGTGTATGGACTTCATTCTGTGCAGACTGCAACTCAGCTGTGGCTTCTTGAAGCTTGCTCCTCTCCTCCTGGAGGGCAGCTTGACTCTCTGTGACTTTCTTTTCCTCTTCTTCCAGTCTCAGCTGCCAGGCTTTGTCTGCTTTTTCTAGTCTAAAAAACAAACAAACAATCTTGTGAGTTTTAAGATAAAAAGCTGAACATAATTAATCCAAGGAAACGATGAAATAAAGACAGATACAGAGAGGATTTTACCTGTCCACAGAAAGCTGAAGTTCCTCTTTCAGTGCAGTTTCTTTCTGAAGCTGTTCTGCCACCTCCTTGGCTCGTGTTTCAGCCTCCCGGACTTCAGCCTCCTTACCCTGCAGAGCATCATTAAAGCGAGTCTCCCACTGCCGGGTCTCGTCCAAAACCCTGTCCCGGTCATCTTGCAGTGAGGACATGCAGCGTGAGAAGGCAGCTAACCTGGCCAGAGACTCGTCTAGACGAGCTTGCATCTCCTGGGCTCGTCTCTCAGCTCCCTCTGCGATCTCTCTGGCCTCCAGGGTGGCCTCCTCTTCCTTTTCCCGTTCTCTGTAGGCCTCCTCCAGTCTCAGCTCCATCTCCTTCAGTTCAGCTCCCAGTCTGAACCTCACAGAGTCCAGGGTTTGCTCCGCCTCGGCTTTCATCGAGGTCTCTTTCTGCTGGGCGCTCTGTTCTAAAGTTGTTTTCTCAGCTAAGGCCTCGCTGAACAGTTTCTGGACCTCATCCAGTTGAGATTTACAGCTAGCCATCTCTGCCTCGCTCCTTTTCAGGTCCTCTAGAGTTTTGGAGCTCTCCAGCTGGGATTGTTCTAGTTTGCTGTTGAGCTCATTGTGGCCGAGCTGCAGTGCCTTAGCTTCCCTCCCCAGCTCACTGATCCTCTCCTGGTACTGGATGCTGTCCTTCTGCAGCTGTCGGACCTCCAGCTGCTTCTCCCTCAGCAGTTCTTCCAGCTGACGTGCTCTGCTCTGGCTGCCTTCTCTGACCCTCTGAGCAGACCTCAGCTGCTGCTCCAGCTCCCGCTGCTTACCAGACTCTGCTTCAGCTTCAGCTCTTTCTCTCTGGGCTTGCCTCATGTCCTCTTCCAGTCTGGACGCCCGGTCCCTCTCGCTCTGAGCCTCGGCTTCCAGTTCAGCTCGCTCCCTCTCCAACCTCTCCACCTGCCGCTGAAGGTCAGCCAGATGCTCCCGGTTGTCTGCCGTCTCTTGCTGGTAGCCGGCGATGCTCCCGTTGAGTTGGGCCAACTGGTTCATCAGACGCTCCTCCAGGTTATCTTTCTCAGTTTCAAGGCTTCCGAGGAGTTCTTTGAACTGAGTTTCCCTCTTCGAACCCTCTTCAATCAGGCTCTTTTCTCTCTCTTTGGCCTCTTGCAGGCACTTCTCTAGAGAGGCCACAAGAGCCAGCTTCTCTTTACTTTCCTGGAGGTCTCGCTCCAGAGAGGCCAGAGCAGCGCTGAGCTCAGCCTCCCGCTCCTGCCACAGTTTCCTCTCTGAGTTAACAGCTGCCTCCATCTCTTTTATTTTATCCTCTAATACATTTTGAACACTTTCAGTCATTTCTTCCTTTTCTTTCTCCTCTGTGGGCTCTAAACATGTTTCTGGTGCAGACACTGCGACTATTTGGTCATCTGGAGTCTCCTCTGGAGTTACGGGTTTTTCCTTGTCCTCATACTGACTCTCCACAGGCTCTGCTTTGGTCATGATTATGTCAGATTTCTGGGCAGTGACAACCTCTTCTACAACAGCTGCAGAGGTAAGTGTTGTTGCTTGAGTTTCACTGTCCTCTTTCTCTCCCATTTGGGCAACTTGTTCCCTCAGTTCTTCAATCTCCTGCCCTAAAGAGTCTCTCTCTGCTGCTGTAGCATTCAGCTCAGCCTTCAGAGCCCCCAGCTCTTCTTGAAGTCTTTCAGCTTCAGCTTTCAGACGCCTGTCCTCTCGTTTTACTACAGACTTCTCCTGCATTTCTCTCAGTCTCTCATTCTCCTCCTCTAACTCCAGAATCTTCTGCTGCTTTGTTTTTGCAAATTTTCTCATCTTGTCTTTCACTGTATCCACCTCTTTCTGCGCCTCCTCTGCCTGCCTCTCCGCCTCTTGCCTTGCAGCCTCGTGTGTCCTCACTCTGGACGCTAACTCCTGTCTCTCCTGCCGGGCAGCTTCCAGGACCCGTCTCACTCGCTCAGCCTCGTCGCTCACGTTTTCATAGGACTTGAGCAAAGTCTCGTACTCATCCTTCATGCCTTGAACCTTTTCCTCCCATTCTCTGCTCACCCTGGAAGCCTCTTCTTTTGCCAAGTCCGCTTCTCTCTTACAAGCATCTTTCTCATTCAGTATGCCTTCCATGGCCAGTTTGAGGCTCTCGCAGGATGACCCAAGGCTTTGGTTCTCCAGTAACGTTCGATCGACCTCATCGATCAGTTTTAGTTTTTCCGCTCGTAGCTTCTCCAGCTCATCTTCTGCCGACTTCATTTTCTGCTGAAGTTCAGCGACGAGCTTCTCGGCTGAGGCCAGTTGCTCCTTCTGGGTCTTATTTTCTTTGAGGACCTCTTTGCGAGAGATCAGAGCGGCCTGAAGTTTTCGCTGAAGCTGCTGAATCTTTGCCTCGCTGTCTTTTTCTTCCTCTTGCTTCTGTGGAACCTCAACCTCTAACCTCTGGGTTTTTTCCTGCTCAACCTTTAATTCTTCCTGTAAAGACGTTATTAACTGATCCTTCTGAGACACCGTGTCCTGCATCGAGTGTATGAGGGAGTTCTGCTCATTAAGCTGCTGACTGAGCTCCACTATCTCGTGGTTCTTGTTGTCGAGGAACTGCTTGAAGTCTTCCACCTCAGCCTGAAGAGTTACAATGAAGGATGAGGAATCTGCAGATGCTGCCATCTCTGCTTTTAGGGTTTCGGCATAAGACTCAGCTTGGTGATACTTTTCTCTCAGATCATTAATTTCCTCTGAGAGAGCATCGATCTGTCTTTCCTTTTCTCTTAGCGCTTGTAGCTCTTTGCCCAAATCCAGTATTTCAGCCTCCTTCAACGACAGATCGGCGTGAGTCTCCTGCAGCTGCTTCTCTAGCTCTGTGTTAGCCTCCCGCACAGTCTGGATCTCCTCCCTGAGAGCTTTCAGAGATTCCTCCATTTGTGCGGAGTGGACGTCGGACGGCTCTGCAGGAAGCTGAGTCGGATCACTAGTTTGTGGTTGTGATGAATCAGGCTCAGAGGTGGTAAAATCCACCCAGTCCTCCTGGACCCAATCCCCTGCTGCTGCTTGCTTCTCCACGTTTTCAGCCACTTGTTTGGTCTCTTGATGAGAAAGGTCCTCTCTCTCTATGCTCACTTTTTCTTCCAGCTCTCTCAGCTTAGTAAGAAGGACTTCTCTTTCTCCGCTCCGCTCCTCAAAGCGTTCCATCAGCTCACTGTATTCTTCTTTCTGCTGCTTCAGCTGTTCCCGGTGGTGTCTGTCTTTCTCTTTCGCTTTGCGGATGGTGTCTTTGCGTGATTCTTGAGCATCCTGAACCTTCTTCTGGAGCGTTTCGCACTCCGCTTCGAGAGAGGCCACTTGGGATTGTAACGCAGTTGTTTCAGAAGAGGTGTCTGATGCGTGCTGACTGTTTTCAGCTTCTTCACTAAGCTTTTTATTCAGGGCAAGCGTCTCCTCTATGACTTGATCCTGTTGGCTAATTTTCTGCTCAAGAGTTTCTACTGTCTCCTCTTTGGATCTTAAAGCTTGCTCGAGCTCCAGGAGTTTAGCCTCCATTTCTTGAATCTCATGTCCTCTAGTTTTTTCTTCGTCTGGAATATTTGCAGCACTTTCTCCCTTTGCCAACTCATCTTGCTCTTTCCGTTTTTTTGCTTCCGCCTCAAAATCAGCAACTTTCTTCATGAGCTCTTTGCGTTGCACAAGTGCAGCCTGCAGCTTCTTCTTTGTGTTTGTTAGTTGTGTCTGCAGCACTCCTTTCTCCTTCCGTAAGCTACCAAGTTCATCATCTACATGAGCAGCTGAGTCTTCACCGCTCGCTTCCTGTTTCTCATCTCTCACTTTCTCAAGTTCCACTATCTCCTCCTTCAGTTTATTAACTTCACGGTCAATCTGGAACTTCTCCTCTTCTACTTGAAGGAGTTTAGCAGACATGCTGTCGTTGAGCTCCATCATCTCTTGCTCTTTCTGGCTGAGACGAAGCTGTAGCTCACTGATCTCTGAGTCCTTCTTTGACAAAGACTCATTGTTGAGATCTGACATCTGGGAATATTCCGACATGCTGTTTTCCACATCTTGCAGCTTCCTTTCAAGCTCAGAAGAGAGGAGTTCTCTGTCCTCCAGCTGAGCACTCAGCATCCTGGCCTGACCCTCCTGCTCAGAGAGAGCTAGGTGGGTTGTTTCCAAGTCTCTCTGCAGACTCTGGATCTTCTGCTCCTTGGCTTTAGTTTCAGCGTTCAAAATGTCCAACTGTTCTTCTAGAAGCTGCATTTCAACACTGTGCTTCTCCACCACTGAGCTACTTTGCTGGGAAACATCATCCAACTCCACTCTGACTGACTTGAGCTCCTCTGCAAAGTTGTTGGCCTGGGACTCTGCCTCCTCTTTGGCAGCAGTGAGGGACTGGGTTTCTTCTTCCAGACTCTTGATTTTCTCCTGTGACTCTGCAGCTGCTTCTCTGAGCCTCTGCAGCTCTGCTAAAAGTTCACTGTACCTCCTCTGGAGTTCCTCGGCTAAGGCCTGAGCAAAGACCTGTCCAGATGGCACGATAGCGTCTGTGGAGGAAGAACTCTGCTGTGTTAGATGAACCTGAACTGTCTCTCGGATGATGACAGAGGAGGACTCAACTTGAACTGTGGAGGTTTCCTGCTCCATGCTCGTCGCTTCCCAGGACTGCAACTGCAGCTGGCCAAAGTCCTGCAGGATGGAGGGCCACTCCTGGCCTCCATCTTGATTCACAGCTTCCAGGAGGGTCCAGCTGCTGTGGGCCACCTCTGAATCACTACTGGCTACCATCTCGTCTGAGGAGGTCCCTTTGGATTCTTCTGGGGACTCACACTGGTGTCCAATAAGCTCTGGGCTGCTCTCGTTACCAGCAGATATGGAGAGGACAGAGGTGTCCTCAGCCACTAAAGTGGTCTCTTCTTCTTGTGTATCCTCCATTAGTTCAGGAAGAGCTGCAGAACTGTCATGGGGGGCTGTACTGGCATCCTGATCCTGGTCTGGAGTCTGATCGTATGTTTCACTTGATGTGACTTCACTGGAGCTCTGGTCTTTAGCCAGTCTGAGGGATTCTCTCAACGCAACCAGCTCACTGTCTTTTTCTAGTAGCTGCTGCTCCAGTGCCAGTATGTTTGCTGTGGAAGAGAAAGTCTTTAGTAAAAGTTTCTACAGTAAATAGAAAAAAAAAACTGTAGTTTTAACCAATACTTGACACAACCGGATGAAAATCTGATCAAAACCAACTATTAATGTGTGTAAGTGTCAATACTAAGAGGGATCTCAGAGAACCATCTGTTCTGTGTGAAATATTATCTCAGTCAAAGAACAAACAACATCAATAACTGGTGTGTGCTGCTAGAGGAATATATTAGTGTTCAAAGTTCATACAGTTAGTCTAGCCTGTCAAACAGAGAATCAATACTCAGGCGGGCAAAAATCACTCCTGGAAACAGAAGTGACTGCTTTATTTATCTTGGACAGTTTAGTTTAAGACAACCAAGAAGAAGGAAAAACACAGTAAGTTAAGAAGAATCTATCCGATGTTATCCTGAAGTAATATAAAATTATCCTTTATATAATTTTTTTCTTACACTAATTAAAAGACCAACCACATGGTCACTTTACAGAGCCCAGGGTGATTTTAGGAGATTAAAGGAACATTTCTTTCCTACAAATATGAGTAATACAATTAAAATAAATACATTAAATACATGCTCATTTTGATTATTAAATAATTATACTAACAATTTAATACGGACAACATTTTATTTTTTTTTTAAATCTCTGAATTTAATTTCAGAATAATACACATGTATTTTATACCTGGATTATAATTATTGATGCATCAGTGAATAGGGATCACTTAAATGTTGCAGCTGGCAATGTTGGACCTAATTCTTTAAACCGCTGAGTAGCTTAATCAATAGCAATGCATCACAGGGCTGCAACTTTCATTACAGATTAATCAGCCCATCATTTTCTCCTATGACTGATTATTGGTCCAGTCTATAAATTGTCTGCCTGTAACAACTTGCCTAGAACATCCATCAAGTGTCTTGTTTTGTCTGACCATCAGTCCAACATCCAAAATGATTCATTTCACAATGATATAAAACCAGAAAATCCTCACATTTGAGAAGCTGGAACTAATAAAGGTTTGGCATTTTTGCTAGAAAAATGTTAATCAGCTAATCGTTTAGTTATTGCGGCTCTAATTCATTCTAATGTATTTGTTGATTATATCTACACATATGGGCCTTGTGCATATTTGTCTGTGCATTTGTTTTGGAGATGCATGAATGTATTTACTGTGAGTGTGAGCGTATTGATGCTCGAGTCTGTTTCCTGTTTTTTGTACCTTTTTCAGCTTCAGTTGGATCCTGTGCTGACGGTTCAGTCACATCATCTCTTTCAGTCAACTGAAAGGAAGAAACAAAACTGTGACTATCTTCTGAAGATAGACAGGACTGAAAGTTGTTGTGATTCACTAGAGAAACATCCTGTGTAAGTAGGAGTGAAACAACAGTTTTTAAAAGCTCTATGCAGCCTATATGATGATCTATATCAGCTGTATGTAAGGCTGCAGTGTGAGGTGAAGGTCGGCTCAGACAGTCAGTCATAACAGTGGATCACTGCAGAAGGGATTAGACTTACTTCCTCACAACGGGTCTGTCTACTGTGTGACTCAGCTTCTGTCCTGTCTGACACTGACCAGGATCACCTGTCCAGACACAGGTTGCGACCCTGACCTGGTGCAGAGGATTCGACCAGACATCACTGCCCTGCTCTCTACAGATAAAAGGCGACTCTGCAAATTGTGTTTTGATATTTAAGGAAAAGTAGAAATGACGCAGCTGTTTGACTTTGAAGAGAAACTATTAAGAGCTTCTTTTGCTTTTTATATTTCAGCTTATACTAAGCTTCAGGTCCCACATCCTCCACTTCAACACCTTTTTAATCATATAAACAGAGACACAGAAGAAGAGAAACTCGGTACAAAGGCACAGAGAAACTTTGAAGTTTAAGCTTTGCAGAGACGATAAAGCTTTTCAAGTGTCATAGAGCTTATTTAGGAATGCCTTTTGAAGTTTATACCTCAAGTGAAACAGGCTGTTTACATCTGAGGTTAAGCAAGTAGTAACTGCTTAGAAAAAAAAATGTACTTCTGTGTTTTTAAGCATTCTGTGTTTAAGACCTCATTTACACCTGACATTAATATGGAAACTGTAACTGCACATTATATCTGGATGAGGAAAAATTCATGTTAACGCAAAGTGTAAATGCGTGCGGAACGCCAAGTTAATTTGCATGTAGAGATCTGATCACAATGCAGGAAGTATGGAGATCATGTGAAAGCTTATTAACACCAGGTGTAAATCCTGTGGATCAGATCCATCCACATAATGTATCCAGCCACAGATCACCTGTAAATGGGGCCGTAGTACTGACCGTTACAATTTGCTGCTCCAACTCCTGGATCTTGGCAGCGGCCTCCTCTTGGTCTGTCGTTTTTCTGTCAAGTTGTTCTGAAAATCATATAAAAATTTCAGTACCTTGATGAAAAGCATTAGTTTTGACATTAGCACACTGAATCCAGCAAACAACCAGATAAATGCTCTTACCCTGAAGGGTTTCCATGGTGTGGGTGAGCTCTGCACAACGTTCCTCACTCTCACTGCGTTTGTCTTTCAGTCTTGTCAGCTGGGTCTCAATCGACTGCACTGTGTCCAGGAGCAGGGAGAGGTCAGCGGGGACGGGGCTTACCTCTGCTGCTTGTACATCATCTAGAGCCAGAGTTTGCAAATGCCTCCAAACTTCAGCCATGGTCTCACTCTTCTTCTTGGCATCCACCTGCTCCTCTTTCAGCGAAGCCAGCTCTCTTTCTAGTGTATCAACTTCTGACTTCTCCCTCTCTGAGGCGTCCTGGCCGGCATGAACAGCTGCCTCTCTCATAGATGCGAGTTCACTTTCAAGCCGAGCCATTTCTGCCCTGTCTCTCTCTGAAGCATCATGGCTCGCTTGGATGGTTGCGAGCTCAGCCTCTTTCATCAGAGCCAATTCTCTCTCCAGTCTGGCAACTTCCATCTTCTCCTTCTCCAGAGCCTCCTGACTAACAAGCCCAGCCTCTCTGAGGGAGACCAGCTCGCTCTCCTGCCTCGCCGCCACCTCCGCTCTCTCTCCTTCCTGAGCCTCCAGGCTGGTTCGGAGGGCTGCGAGTTCTACGTCAGCTCTGCCGGCCCGCTCGGCCCACTGCTGCCCCTCCTCCTCCCTCAGCTTCACGGCCTCGGCCAGCTCCTGCTCCATCTGCCGGAACTGAGCAGTCAGGATCTGAGCACGCAGAGGGTGAGGAAGAGAGAGAGAAAGAGGATATGAAGGATACGAGTGGGTGTGTGTTGTGTGGCTCAGCCAAACAATGAAATATATTGACATGCCATTGAGATCTAGGGTGTGTCTTGTTTGAACAGTTTTCTTTTATTTATACAGGACAAGTATTCATTCCACGTGAAGACTCTGTAGATGTCTGGCAACATGTGGAACAATCTCTAAAACAACATTCTTTCAAAAAGGAGCTAAAATGGTATCTAGTCCAACAGGATCTTTACCTGTTTTTGCTGATCAGCACTGCTCACTTCCTGCTGCAGCATTTCCAGCACTTGGGAGCGAGATTTTAAGGACTCCTCAAGCTCTTCACAACGTCTCTGGGCTGCGTGCAGCGCCTGGGAACGATGAAATAACACAGACACAGTTATCTACTCTTCAGCTGCTTGATAACTTGAAACATTTTTGTGTTTGTCCCCTGGAAATGAATTAACAGTCACCAAAGTTTAATTAAAGTTTGGGTAATTTTCTTTCTTTAGCCTAAATCATTTTTAAAATAAAGTTTAGTTGTGGTCCATGGGCTATTTTGGGAGCAAGTTTCTCCCCTTTTTCTGTTAAAAGGTGTTTTTGTCCAAATGGAGTGTGGCTCTTTGGGGCATATTTGTGGTTTTGGCCTGTATAAATTAATTTGACTTGATTTTACTATATTGTCTTACAGGATAATGACATTAAAGTGTCATTATTAAAAACTAAAACATATTTTCTCCACAAATAGAGTCCTTCTTTCTATTTTTTGATGTTGCTGTACTAGTTTAAACAATCAACAAGAGCTCAAACGACAGAAAGAGAATTAATTGGCAACAATTTAGATAATCGATTAATAATCTACGTAATTTTTTAGGTATAAATGCCAAAATTTGACTGGTTCCTGCTTTTTCAAATGTGAATATTTGCTGAATATTTGGGGATTTTTACTGTTAAATAAAAGCAATTTAAACATGTCAACTTGAGCTCTTGAAAATTATGATGAGAATGTTTTTGATCAAATAAATAATTGTTTCAGGTAATAAAAAGTAGATAAATAGTGACAATAACTGTCAACAACTATTAAAGAATAAACCATATATTAAGGAGTTATATTGACAAACTCCTGGCTCTTTCACCTGCTGAAGCTCGCCGTCATTCTGAGACTGCGTTGTGACCTTCATCAGCTCCTCTTCATGTTTTTGGATCTGCTCCTGGAAACGAACGTCCTTCTCGCAGACCACCGCCTGCAGTTTCTGCAGCTGAAAACAAAAACACAACAAATTATCCACACAGAACTTTTCTCAGTACATTTTAATTCATTGGTTGTTCAGAGAGTATGACTAGATGTGATTACAGCTATGTCACCTGCTCAGCGTGGGCAGATTCCTTCTCTTGAAGGAGCTGTTCGGTGGCCTGGAGCTGTAGTTTCAGCTCCCTGCTGTTGGCCTCCTCCTCGCTCAGCTTGTTCTTCAGATCTTGGAGCTCCTCCTCGACTGCAGAACCAGCTCCTGTGAAAGAGCTGTCTGGGCTCTGCTGTAGACAAAACAGACGTTCAAATCAGATAAGATTTTGATTCCTGGTTTGTGGTTAACGAGTGGCATGTTTTATTCTGCATAAGATCTTTTTTGTTAAAAGCAACCGAAAGAGTGATTTGTAATAACCCTACAAGCGCAACACTGGCTATTTCTGCCTCATTCAAACTTACTGTGCCTCCTCCTGATCCTTTCAAATCAGTTATCTGTTTGTTGAGTGAAGCCATCTTAGCTTTGGCCTGCAGTTTGAGTTTGGTGAATCGAGCCTCGGCTTCTTCCTTTTCATTCTATGAATATGAAGAGAAAAAAAAACAAAAAAAGCAATGGTTCTCAGTCAGAAAAGACGTTGACACGTTTTGGAGCAAAGTGTTGATAGCAAACACACACAAAGGATTATTCACCTTGAGCTGTGCATCTTTGTTGGCCAGCTCTGTGTCCTTTTGGACAAGCTGGGTGTCTTTGTCTCGAATGAGCTCCTTCAGCTGGACCACCAGTTGTTCCAGGTGAGCCAGCCTCTCCATGGCCTCCTCAGGTGCCTCAGACTCCACTGGAGCCTGGCCCTCACCGGCAGGGAGCTGAGGCACCAGCATACCCTGTACAAGAAAACAAATAAAGGTCAGTTTATTCATCATTGTTGGTCTGAGACGTCTGCAAGAATCACCCAAACAAGTCAATCAGGTTTATTTTCACCTTGGCTCTGAGTCTTAAAATGTTTTGACAGAAAGTCTGCATTAAAAGAATTACACCAGCATGACATTTTGAGCTACTGGCCAAAAGCACATAAAGATTTTCTGTTCTGCTATAAGATTTCATCTTGTCTTGATTTCAAAAGCAGACAATTACTAAAATCACCCTCTTTCAAATTTGACCTGACATACAATCAACACATACTTATTTAGAAGCAAGGGATACAGTTGGCAAAGCTGTTCATTATAATTCTTTATAACATTAGTTGCCCTCTCACTTGTGGGTCTCCATCTGGGGCCTCCTCTCCAGAGAGCTCCTGGAGGACTGTGGCCAGACGGCTCAACATAAAGATGGCACTGTGAGTGGGGGAAAAAAAACTGAGGTTAGAAGCTTCAGCGCAGACTAACGTGAGATGTTTCTGACATGTATACAGCTCCTTTGCTGAAACTGCACAAGTCCAGTTCGGTTTGCTATAGATAAAATGGTGGACATGTTAGACCTATTTTTCAAAACCTTTCTGCAGTTGGCAACTTTCTCCAGTATCCTCCATCAATGTTCGGCCTCAGAATATTTTTAGCTGTAGGCATGAATTCATAGTTATTTATAGTAGTATAAATGCAGCCTGCAGTTAAACCTGTCTTATATCTGTAATGCATGGTGTCTGATATGTACACTTGACCTTTTACAATGTCTTTGACAAGAACAGCTCCAAGTGCCTCCTGACACTGATGCTGAATGACAAGTCCTATGAAGATGTGAATATACACACAGTCCCAAGGACATGTATTTTACTTTTGTCTACATGCAAGCAGTGGCTGGTTATATGACACAGTTTTATAGATGTGACATTGAAAGTTCATTATTGACCTTGGAGACAATCCCACTATAAATTTCCTTCAGTAGCTGCTGTCTTCCTCCAGAGATGAAGTTGAATGAAGGTCAAGAATGATCTTTTGATATCAACTTTCCAAGCCCTTAACGTGCTCAGAAAAATAAAAATTTGAATGCTCAAGAACAGCTTGTGGTGAGGCGATTATGTCTATTTTATGGCATTACCAATCACCACAGCTGAGACAATTAGTCAATAAATCAATTAGATGATCAAGAGAAGGATAATGGGCAACTACCTTATAATTAATTAATCTTTTAAGTAACTTGTCAAGTAAAAAAATACCAAAATGGTTCCAGGTATCAGTTGTGAACATTTTGTTTTATGTAGTAATAAATATCTTTTGGTTATGTAGTGTAGTGTAGTGTAGTGTGGTAGAGTAATTTTATATCATAGGCCAAATGATTACTCAATAAATTGAGCAAATAATATCCAGATTAACCGGTTATTAAAATAATTGTTGGACAAATTACATTTCAAAACAGACTACAAACTGGGCCTAAAAAAGGTCAATGAAAAGCAGGATTTTGACAACATAGTACGTTTTAATATAATAATGTATTTGGTTAATATGTATATTAAGTTGTTATATATTGTACGATAATAGTACAGATTTAAGAAGTGGGATTTTTTAATAATCAGAGAGAAACAGAAACACATTTTATAACATTTCTTACTTTTTGCCCCTTGTCCAAAGCAACACATTGTCAGAGACCCCTATCCGCTTTTCTCCAAGCCTAGCCGAATTGAGCCGAGTCTTTCCGAACCTGTAGGACACTCCACTGCGGCTGCGTCACTCTTTTTGTGAACAGCAAAGATTATACCTAGCTAACGCGAAAATAGACGGCAAACTTTCCCAGCGGCTGGACACCTATATCTTCAAAGCACAGTAGACACATTTGAAGATTAAGAAACGGTGCCGTGAACAGGATGCCTGGTGAAAACATCCGCTGCTTACTCTGACTGTAGTTTCCACGATACAGTTAAGTTAGCTTAGCCGGCTAACGCCAATAACTCGTAAATAAGGAGCGATTCTTTAAAACCTGCTCCGCTGAGTTTCTCTACTCAGTGCATGACAGCTCCGAGGTACAGCCCGGCGAGTGGTGTATTTTTTAAAACAAAGGACCTTTGACTCACCTGTGCGAGTGCTTCCCAGGTAAACGTATCTGGTTTTTATTTGATATTTTTCCTCGGATGGATTTCTGAGCATAGCCACATCACCAAACATTCCCGGAAACAAAACTTCCTCTGCACTGATTGGACAGCAGGGATCTGCGTATGTAAGGGACTGTCTGCAAATTTCCCAGCTTCGAATCCTTTCTAGGGAGCATCGGCATAAATATATACACTACAAAAAACGAAAAATGAGCACCAACTAAAAATACATATAATTTGACCCTTCACCATCTGGAAGAACACAGAAGGAAGTATAACGATGGCAGGACATGACCAAAGAGTCAACCTGATCATTAATCATGGAAGGCAGCTGGGGAGGAGTCTGCTGCTACTCGTCCACTACACCACAGTGTTTGTGGCCTTTGTGGGACGCACTGTGCAGTGGATGGTGGAGGCTGTGAGGTGGACCAGCCTGTTTGCACGCTACACAGTGTCAGCATTTGACTCCATCTACAGACATCTGCACTGGGGGAAGAGGAAAAGTGTCACTGGTGGGGCCAGAGAGATCTGTACGAGCTCTGATATGGAGCCACAGTGACAGTGTCTGACAGTGTTTTATTGGCAAAATGCCAATGTGAGACAGCAACAAACAGTAGACTAAAGCTGAGGGGGTTAACTTTTAAAAACTGAATATGAAGCATAAATGATGCTTGATGATGAATGAAAATGAGGCCTTACTGAAGTCTGAAATATTATAGCTTTTTACTTTTTTAAGCTCCTAAAACATAGCTATTTGTTACATTGTTAGTCTTACTAGTGTTATATTTGTATGTGTTGTTATTTGTACATTCTATGTTTTGTTATCATCAGGAAAAGCTCTTCCAAAATGTTGGAAACTACATTTCGGGCTATTTGGTAGACATAGCCTGTTGCTGCCATTCATCCCTCATACCTGTTTATATGACTGTTATGCAAAAGTGTCACAGGGTAATGCAAACTACAGTAAAATATGATGGAAGCATACTGTATTCAAAACTACATTATTGCACTAGAGCAGGGGCAGGATCGAATTTTTGATTGAACGTTAAATGAAGAATACATCATTGCATTAACAGCCAAATTTATTTTTTTACATCTGTGTCTTTGAAGTATATACAATATGTAATTGTACTGTAATGTGTTTTTTTTGTTGGTTTTTTTTTTGGCAAACATTGGCCAGTTCCTCTTCTGTTCAGACATGAATGAATGATGAGCCATCACACTGGCTAGACCAGTAAACTGTGGAGGTGCTGCATCCTGTGGTTTTTCTGTTTTTCTGAGACTATTTCTTCTGTTGCAAGTTTTACGGCCAGAAGGAAACACACTTCTTTCACACTTCTGCTGAATGTATTTCAGAGGCAACTAATATCAGATGTTTATCATTCTTGGAATGTCGATGTGAGAAAAAACAAAAAGTGAATTATTGCTTTAAAGTGACCCACAGCTGCATTTACTAATGAAGTTTTTATTTTTACTTTTGTATTATAGATATATTTTGATTGTTCATGCATTTAGAGTGAAATTTAACCACTGACATATTTATGTTTTTTTTATTAATCAGTGATAGCACATTAGCAAGTTGTAACAATGCTGTTGTCATTATTAACTGCATTCATAGCTGCTAAATACAACTAATACACTTACGCTTTCAAGTATATTGCAAGATTGTCGTAACAAAGGAGTCATAACTAAGAGATCAAATGGTGTTTCGATGTTAATTTCAAACTGTAATCTTTGTTCAGTTAGTGTACCAATCAGCCATGGGTCAAGCCGTCTTGGCTTCAGACTATACTATCCAAATAAATTTCTCTACAAACTGTCTTGTAATTTTTTTTCTTCTAGTTTTGTCCTTGAATCTTTGCATTACAAAAAAACATTGTAAACTATCCATCACAATTTCCAAGGTCCAAGTCCAAGGCAACATCTTCATATTGCTTGTTTTGCCCAACTAACAATCCAGACCCAAAGGGAATTAAGTTAACTATCACAAAAGATGAACACTCAAAAATATTTTTTGTTTTTAAAAAGTGACTTAAAATTATGAAATCAATAATCAAAATTGCAGATTAATTTTCTGTCCATCAACATCTGTTGAATATTTGAATAATCACACACACCTCAAGAAGTACAGTCAAATGTAAAGTTACAAGCACACAAGACGACTCAACAGACAATAGGTAAACAAAATGTGCAATATTAAAACTTTATTTGGCTTTACCTTGTACCCATTGAAAGTTTAACTATGGTGAATTAACTGACCTGACAAGTGGTTTTAACCAAGAGCAAGAGAAGAATTTAAACATTACAACTATATGGAAAGAATCCAGTATGTAAATCAAAAGATAAGTCCATCTTAAAACAATTGTCAGGTGTCCATATGTACATTGAAACAGCTTTTGGTTGCTGTAATTGTTCCTTCTGTCCATATTGACCATTATTGCTAATGCACAATGTAAATGAAAGGGGACAAAATCCAGTGTCAAAAATGTATTCAAAAGTTTATCCAAAGTTAATAAGAGGTGTTTAAAGTTCTTTTTAGTATAAAAGACTCCGTGTTTCCATTGACAGTGTTTTCACTGTTGAGCCACAGCAGAGGGATACTTCCAAAAACAGAAATTTGCACTAAAAAGGCCAAAGATTTGGAAGACACCCACTTGGTCTGACTAATTTGGTCGGCTGCAGCTTCAGGACTGTGTGATTTTTATCCCACATCACTTACTTTGATGATTAGATCGAGCAGAATCTGTTTCAATGTAGATGGAAACCTGAGTGTTTTAAGGCAGACATGAAAAACTGTGAACCTGTCCTTTAAGTGTGTAGTTGAGTTAGGGTTGTGTGTTTTCTATTGTGCTTAGTCTTCACTAAGGACATTAAAACTGGACCACTCATGTTTCAGTGCAAATGCTGAGCAAAGTGTATCCCCTCAGCTAAGATGCATGATTGTGTTGGAAGTCCTGCGTCTCCATGTGAGGGATGAAAGCTGTATTGTGTTTGTCAGCACATCTCAGGGTAAACGTGGGCAGAGGTGGAACAGGCAACCTGCCCTTTTAATGGGGGGGATTAGGCCGATCATCTACATGTTTACCTGGATTACAGTCAGCGATTAGACCAAAGGAGGACACAGAGGGGCGTGGATCACCTCAACCCCAAACACAGACGGCTACAAAAGGCCCCCACCAGCAGCTTCTCTCACCCTAAGTCCCATCGTTGTGTGACTGTGAAGAGGGATTACCTTCGCTTCACAGTAGACCAAGTGGGCTGAGAGGTTTGTGCACCAGCTGCAAAAGGCTCCAGATACCTAATCTGCACACACACTCAGGTGTCAGAGACATGGGTAACTCAACAGGAAGCACTGTGGACGACCTGCAGGCGGTGGAGATGCACCTCTGGTACAAGAAGTTCATGACCGAGTGCCCCTCGGGTCAGCTCACCCTGCACGAGTTCAAGCAGTTCTTCGGGCTGCGAGGTTTGGACCCAGAGGCCAACGCCTACATAGAGCAGATGTTCCGCACGTTTGACATGAACAAGGTAAGATGATGCATTTTTTAACTACAAAATTAAATTCAAGAGGGCTTTTCCTCGACTGTGGAGTGTGACAGTGAGAGGGTGTGATGGGGCTCTTTCTGAAGCCATTCCTTAATTAGGGATTTACAATATGTCATGTTTAATTTTTGTTAGCTGGCTGTTTTTCCTTAAAGGTATTGCCCTTTCATCATCAAATTGTTTACATTAACTTCTATTTTTTATTCTTATTTCTTTTGTTCTTTACCTAGTAATGGTTACTTAAAGTAAGTTTTTAAGAACCATAAAAATATCTAGTCAGTGCATCAGCGTCCTCAAATCTCTTTTAAGTGTTTGGAAGGGATAGGTTCTGTTATAGCTTTAAATGTTTAAATGTTTAAATGTTATTCATCTTATAGGTTGTTCTTTTGAATAATCACTATATAATAGTGGAAAATGTCCATAGTGCCAATTCAAAATAGCGAAAAACAACAATGCCAAAGAGACATTTTGAAAAGATATTTCATCAAATCCTGACTCTGCAGAGGCTGGAACCAGAAATATTTGACATTTTCACTTAATAAATTGACTTAACCATTTAATTGATTATTAAAATAACCTCAGATCAACTGTTTGCAGATCAACTGACTAAATGTTTCAGCACCATTTACAATTTTATCTAAACTATGAAAAAACATAATAAGCAGCCCATTAATACACAGTACTTTGGAGATAACAGATAAAGGATGTAAAGATGTAAATAATGATGATTTTCATCATCAGTTATACTCTTTTTTTGTTTGTTTGTTTTGTTTTGATTAATCATGTGCTCTACTGTCAGAAATCAGTTAAAAAATGCCCATCACAGCCTAAGATGAAATCTTGCATAAAACAGTCTGAAAGGAAAAGATATTAAATTCTTTGACATCTTTGAAAAGTTAAAGTGTCTGAAATCATCACATTTGAGGAATTAGAACTAAAACATTTTAGGTCTTTTTGCCAGAAAAATGACTGAAATGATTAATTGGTTATCGAAATTTGTTTTATGTCATCAAGTGATTGATTAATTGATGTTGAAGGCTTGTTGCATGATTGTCAAAGTGTTTAAGGTTCGGTTTAAAGTTCTAAAGCAGAAAACATAACTCTTTGACTTGCTGCCCAAATTGAAAAACATCTTTTTCATTCAGGGACACATGTTCACTGAAATATGCACAAGCACTCAGGCAATGTCGCGACCTCCCAGGATCAGCTTGTACCCCATTTAAGAGCGTCTTTGAGTGTGTGTGACAGGGTCATGGCAGGATGTCTGTCTGAGACCGTCTATATTTAGTCTCCCCCTCAGCTCGCAAAAGGCCATGGTAATCTTTATGCATGATTTAAACTGTGAGATTATCTCTGAGACAATGCTTTGATGCTAAGATTGTTGCCCGTGTTGAGACACAGACAGTCCCTGCAGATAATCCTCCGCCCTGGCATGCTTCAATCACACAGATAGCTTTTGGAGTTGAGATGAGGGGGATCTCTTTCAGATGAAGGATGGGAGCTCTGGTCGACTGATTTATCACTTTGAATCACGCTGGTTGAATAATAAGTAGATGGTCATGCATAATTATTTTTTTGATGTCTGATACTGTTTTGACAAGGAACAAGAGAGTACAAATCTCATCTCCCTGCTTGTTTCTGCAGGACGGCTACATAGACTTCATGGAGTATGTGGCAGCTCTGAGCCTGGTGATGCGAGGAAAGATGGAGCACAAGCTGCGCTGGTATTTCAAACTTTATGATGTGGATGGAAACGGCTGCATCGACAGACACGAGCTCCTCAACATCATAAAGGTAACGTATAGCATTCATCGTCCACAATGCATTTAAGCCTTGGCCTCGACGTGGCAGACTGATTTTATTCTCTTTCCTTCAGGCCATTCGTGCAATCAATGGGAATGAAAATCAGGAAACAACCGCTGAGGATTTCACCAACAGTGTGTTTGACAGGATTGATATAAATGGAGATGGTGAGTGTGTACTGGCGCTGTGCGGAGACAGAGACTTTAAAAGAAATCGATGGTGGGTGGAGAGTGTTTAGACATTTATCTGCTCCAGTGCTGTCTTTGAGTCAGGCAACACAACAAGCATAGACAGAAGATATACTGTAGGTGGCCGTTTAACATAATAAAAAAAAGAAAATCCACAAAGCTTTACAAAAGATGCAAGTAAGACACTTAAGGATAACTCCATCCATTTTACACATCAGTCTGTTTAAAGGTCTTGTGGAGTGAAAAAAGTTGCATCAAGTCTACTGTGGCAGCAGAGGGAGCTGCATGAAATCTGATAAGTGTCACTAACTAACTTGTAACTGCTGCTGTGTCCAAAATCCAACAAGTCCTCCAACCTAAACGACCATATAGGTTGTTTGTCCCAACCCTCTGATGTCACCCAAACGAGCATTTCCTGAATTAACACTCCTATGAAGACAGATCAGCTGCAGATAACCTGTTAAAAATCACTGTTGAAAAATAAATAACTAAACCTTTTATAGTATGGTGACACTGTATCAGTGGAGTATTCATTTGCTTTTATGTTTGTAATTATCATCTTTGTCTCCTCCAACAGGCGAGCTTTCCTTGGAGGAGTTTGTGGCCGGTGCTCGCACTGACACCGATTTCATGGAGGTGATGATGAAAAGTCTGGACCTCACCCACATCGTGGCCATGATCCACAACAGGAGGCACAGCGTTTAGGGTCTGTCCAGTCCGATTACCTCATCCTCATATGGGATCTAACCCAAGAGCTTCAGTACGTCACCTCTGGTAAAAAGGTCATTTATAGGCCGAGATTGAATCCAATTTAATATGATGACAGTGAATTGTTAACACTGATATTTCACATTTTTATTCTCTAAAAGAGTAACACACATGCACTTTAAATGCACCTGGATGACTCAGTCAACCTTTGCAGACCAATGTCCTTCATGATGCTGAGCTCTCCCAAAGCCACGTTTGGCACAAGGGATGAAACTTCAGATGGCCCACTTACCCTCAGATACCCCCATGGGATAAAAGAGAGAGGTATTTGAGTAGAGTGGCAATTATATGCACTCAACTATGCTTTCCAAATCCTTTTTTTTCTGAGTCTGAGTCCCTCTGCATAAAATTACTCAAATCTCTATTTACCCGTTCTTGCCTGTGGGGTTTACGGGAGGAAGCTGAGACACTCCATGCTAATTCGATCAAGTCCCTGGCTGGATACAGGAACAGGTGAAAGTTTCTGGAGAGATTTAGTAGTATGCAAAATAAAATTCTCAAATGTTTACCTTTTTTATGTTTTAACTTTTTTTTAATGTTTGAAATAATTTAAGAGGAGGCAAAAGGCAAACTACTGGCTTGTGGTTTTGTAACAAGTGTGTGTGGGTGTTTCTTTGGCTGAGTGATTTGCTTCCAATTCAGCATTAAATACAGATATAGATTACCTTTGTTATGTTTGTTGGCTACGCTCGACTGGTGCCTTCTGTTGGAAGACTGCAGAATGTGTTTTTCTCAGCTTTTGCTTATTTGTACAATAAAAACAAACACTTAAAATCAGCTGTGTAACGTTTCTGTTAAATGTTCTGGATAAGTATTGCAGGTACTGCAGCTTCTACACAACATTCAGTCAGCTGTAGTTCAGCCTGACGCATCCCATTATACCCCAGGAAATGTAAAGAGTGCATTTTAAATCTGAGGAACAACAACAACAAGAAGTAGCAGGAATTATAATAAATTTCAAAGTTAGAGGAAATTGTTAAGTTGAGATATAGAGCAGTGGTTCCCAACCAGGCGTCTGAACCTTGAAAGAGAGTCAACTCAAGACTCCTTATCAAAAGTGACATATTTCTATGAGGCGTCACTTCAACGACAGATTTTCATCTTCTAAGGTAATTTAACAACAAAAATGTATTTTTTTCCCCCAATATTTCCTCTACTCTTTGATTCCTCCTTATGGTAGGTAAGTGTTTCATGCCTTTCAAAAATGATTTAAAAAAAGAAAGAAAAAAAAGAGAGATTTGGAAGAAATGAAAGAAATGGAGAAGAGAAAGAAGAAGAAAACTTGACTGATTACAGGAGGTCACAATTGACATTGGTTTGTTCTTAACGTTCACAAGCCCAAAACGTTGGGAACCACTGGTCTAGTTTACTGTTCAAAGGTTAAATGAGGATGAGTGAATTCTCACCATTATATTAACAGTATCCGCTGACGTCAGTGCCCTCCTACAACAGGGTGTAAACACATCACAGAAACAAAATCCTCCCTTTGAGCAAGGACGATGATTCACCTGCATGGTGCCAGGGTCACTCTGTGTCAGGCAAAAATAGTACAGCTGCACCATGATCTAATAATGCATTGCTTGAAGCATGAGGAACTGTGAATATTTGCATTAATCCCACTGGTACATTACAGTACACTGGATGTTTTTGAATTATAATAAAAGAAAATAAGTCTGAACTATAGTAAGACTCTTTTTGAATATTTCCTATTGATAAATATCAAACATCAAGTCTTTTAACAAAACTAAACCAAGATAAAGTCAACTTGCCAATATGGCATTTATTTTGTACTATGTAGATATTTAACATGGTTGGAGGCACAGAAACTCTACAGGATAAAGCTCATTTATCAACCACAAGGGGGCAGTGACATAATTGGATTAATTCTCCCGCCACATATTTTGCCAAATGCTTGTCCTGAGGTGTGTTCTTGTGGTGAGAAATCCCCCTTTGTCTTACTGTCACAGGGTGTCGTCTCTCCTTCACTCACTGCAGGCTCACAGGAAGTCGTACAGATACTTGACAATGTCAAAGTTCACCGTCCTGGGAGATGAATCACACCGAAGAACAAAACTGTAAGAGGTCATTTCCCCTGAAGAATTCAGTCAGTTTCAATCATGATTAATAACAAAGATGAACACACACCTGGATATGGCGCAGATGAAGTCCATGGAAACAGCACATTTGTACTTTGGGGCATCGAGCTGGTCGTCATGACTGACCTGAGTCAACAGCTGTAAGGTCACCAGAGAGGAGATCTAAATGGGGAATAGAGAAAAAACAAAATAACTCTCTGTTCCACTTCTTTAAACACTCTCACACTTTGATGCAGAGGCACTCAATGATGACCGCAAGTTGCACAGATATGGGTTGAGCCTAATTTCCTAAAACCATTTCATGCTCAAAGCCATAAATAGATCGGTATTTGGCCACAGATCCCGAAGCTCATGACTACATGTGTAGAAAAGTCTCTCGTCTGCGACACTGGTCATTAGGCTTGATTGGACATAAAATAGTACTACATCTGCCCATAGAAATGGGAAAAATAATCATCTAAAATCCTCGGATTATATAGTGCATATTCTCTTTCATTTGCTTATCTGGGAAATGTGGGGAAAAGCATGAAATTAAATGTTTTTCTATGCTCGGTTGGAGCATCTGTACAGAACCATGAGGGTTCCTGGGAGTCACAATCATGAAGAAAGAGTACAACCTCTACAGGACTAAATGAGGGGTGAAATTCCCCCGCTACAGAGCTCAGTTAACTCAGTACAATGGCAGCAACAGTGGATCATTTTAGTATCTTGGGACACATAAGTAGAGTTTAATTTGTCTTATATTTTACAAGGACATTATAGTTTTTTTCCAGGAGTTGTACAAGCATGGTGGAATATATATATATAAAAGTGCTTCTGCTGCTGTTGTTGTTGTCGCCTTAAAAATTAACACACTCATTATCACAGCATTTCTTCTAGATTGTCACTATTTGTGAGAAACAAACAGGCTAAAGCTGAGGAATTAAAACTGTTTTTACTTACTTACTGTTTAAATAAAGTAATTTCATTAGTTGTCTGTGGTATTCGTCTGGTAAATATATCAGCATCCTGATATTAGATGTAACAAGCTTGTATGTATTACAATTTAATGGTCCTTGTAGTAATGTTGTTGTCTACAGCAGATTTACGAAAAACCCTCTAAAAGTATTAATGTCAACTGTGACAGTAAAAACTCAGGGGACAAATATCTTTGCTGAAGAGCCGACTTTGGCTCACAGGCTGCTATTTGCCCACCACTGTTACAGTCCATCCCCACCATCAACAGATAAATGTTTTCTTCAGGGTTAATCTTAACTGTATCTGTGCAACATGTTCTGAATGTTTAAGTGAAACATGGTACAAATCATGCAAAAGTTCAAATGTGGAGTCTAATTGCGACCGCAGCAGCTCATTGGACTCTTACCTGAGAGAATATACTGGCAGTGGGGGCGACTCTGCTGTCCACCACGCTGTAGAAAATGGCGAGAAGGCGGTCTAGAGGGAAAGGCTTGGGCCCCAGAAGGTGGTTACTAGTCTGAAAGATAATGGCATTCATTATGTCAAGTTATATGTGATGGGAAACAAACAAAGAAGAAAGGCAGTGTTATGTTACGATCATCACCTTTTCATTTTTCTTCAAGAAGTTTGTTTTTCTTATTTTACCGTGGTGCTGTTGGGAGGAAACAGAAGGACGATGAACACATTAAGTCACATAAATCAAATCATTTTTTTATTCATATAGCCCAAAACCATAAATTGAAGATTTGTCAAAAAGGGTTTTTAATCTGTACAACATGTGACATCCTCTATCCTCAGACCATCGATTTGGAAAACCCACAGATGCATAATTTTAACAGGAGACACCACGGGAATTGTAAAATCTTTAAAGACAAAATTACTGAGGCGTTTTTTTGGACTAAGAGATCATGGGGTGTAACATGAGATAATCTGCTGTCCTGTTAATTTTGAAATGTTTCATTAAACAAATCAAATGCCATTTTTCCAATCCATTTATCGACAATTAGCGAGTGACACTGTTGTCACTTGGGATGTGTGTATGCTTGCAAATCACTTTTGTAAAACAGGCCCTGGATCCAGTATTGCTGAGGACTTTTGTCGCATATCATCCCCCATCTCTCTCTCCCCCGCTGTTCTGTCACCTCTATACTGTCCTCTGTCTAATAGAGGGAAATTACCCCCCTCACCAAAAACATATTCCTACCTTGACGAAAAAGCGTTTGTCTGTGCGTGCAGGGTTGTAGGATGCCAGGTAGGCAGCAATCAACAGGAACTTGGAGTAATAAGGCAGTTCAACGTGAGTGTGAGCAGATAAACCTTTGGAAGGAGGGAAATAAGTCAGCAGTCGTTCAGACATGCTGTGTATCCGAAAATCTAAAAATAAAAAGGCACGCGTGGATTCACACAGTACGATGGTAATGTATTATTTTTGGTGCGATGGACTAATAGGCTATTACAAGGTTTCAACTGCACAGGAAAAATATCACAATTTCAGCATGAATCCACAGTGTCACTGCACCCTATCACTTGGTTTACAGTTTAACATCTGCTCTGCAATCGCGTTACATCATCAAGTGCAACAGCGCTCAGTGTGTGTTGGTACCTCTCAAGGCTCCAGTTTCCTTCTCCTCCATTTGCTGCATCTGCTCCCACTGAACACTGGAGAGGTAAAAGAGAGAAATACAAACACAACAATGGTAAGAAACCACAGAAACAATAATCACATATTTTTGGCCTAGTGCTCAGCATGAGAGCCACATTACAAGACTGAGTCATTTGATCAAGTTTGACTGTTTGATTGGACAAACCTGGACACTTCTCGGAGATAAACTGTCTGCATGGCTTTTTTCAAATGAGGCTCTATGTTCCTCCACAGCTTGTGTGTGTCAGTCTCTTTCACTAAAACACATGAAAAATAAAGCAACATTACAGAGAAAACCAACATAATAACTTGTGATGAGCCAATGTTCACTTCCATTATCAATAGAAGGGATGTAATCATAAATGGATAGGAAAAACAACTTCATCAATATTTTTATATCAACAACAGATCAAATGAAAGTGATGAACCCACAGAGAATAATCACTCGACTGCACAGTTCATGTGATTTCTATGGCACTTCAGCCTCTTTTAGTTTATTTTTTGTGTTTATGTCCTCAGACTCTGGTCTCACAGCCCTCATTTCAGCTATTTTCAGCAAAAAAAGACAAAAACAAAAAAACAGGCTATGATAAAGTGACTGTACACCACCTGCACAGCACCAAATGTCTCACTGATAAATTTAGCAACTAGCTGGTGAAGTAAAGTGAATGTCTGGCAGCTAAAGATCCAGATATTTTTGTCATACCAGACCAGGAGGAGACCACAACAGAGCTAAAGAACAGTGTTTTTTGGACTTACACTTCATTTCTCAGGGTTCTCACACCCTCTTTAACATCAGATTCAAGGATCTTTCAAGGACTTTCCTGGCCCAATTCCCAATAAGTTCAAGGACCAAACATGGCATTCTCTGAGACATGAATCAATGTCAATTACTGTTATGACACTAAGTCTTTTTTTTATAATGAGAACTAGCAGAACTTTAAAGAAGCTCATAGACAATTAAACAGAGGGAGGCTTGAATGTGTGAACAGTTCTCAGTTGTGTTGTTTTACAGTGAAGGCAGACAATGTGGTCTATTACACACATGCAGACCACAACATTTATTTACCAACATTAACTTAAAAATAAATAAATAAATAAGAAAATATATAATATATAAACTAAAGCACTTTCAATGACCCATGTCTATTTATGTCTATTTTCAAAAACTTTCACAAACTGTGGAGATATCATATAGGGGAGCGCAAGAACTGTGGTCAACCTTGTATTACAGAATTAATGAACAAATGTAAACACAGTTACTGTGGCGAATATATACAGTGGCCCCTTTATTAGGAACACCTGTTCAATATTATGCAGTCCAATACAACAGTCCTGCCATAACGTCGGTCTTTACAAAGTTTGTAATGTTTATCTTCAGTTAAGTTGCAGTCGTCCGTCTAGTGCTGTGGTGGTGATATCAAACATGGATCAAAACGTATGCAGTAGATTATCTACATCGACCGTAAGCCTGGCTTTGCATTTCTCAAGGGAAGACAAACATATCTACAACTGAATGATGATGTTGTTTAGTGTCTAAAGGATGTGTAACCAGGCAAGGTCACCATACCAACCTAATAGGGTAATAATCTGTCAATGTTGTGTTTACAGCTTGTTCTGTTTCCCTCAAGAGGCCAAAAAAATCATTAATGCAGCTTTAAAAAAATAAATACAGAAAAGTTAAAATGGCCGAAGTTCGCCTCAACATGACAGAAATATCTCTCTTCAAATGAACACAAAGAAAAAGGGGTAAAATATATACAAATATTGATCATCTGTCAGATGAATGAATACTCCTTTATGCATTACCTTTTCCTTCTGCCAAAGGCTCACAGAACTTTGAAAAATTGAGGGCAGCCTGGTTGAAAAAAAGAAAAAAAAAAGAAAAGAGAAATCAATGATGCAAGACTGGAAGAAAATCCAAACTGTGAAAAATCGTCACTGACTTATGAAGGTGTGTGTGTGTTGGTGTGTGTCTGACCAGGTGCCGAAGCTCTCTGAGGTCCCGACAGACCGAGTAAAAGACTCCCAGCAGGATGTTGATGTATGATGAGTAAAACTCAGCTGAATATGACGGATGCCTGTCCTGGGACAAGATCTGCTGCAGCTCACCTGTGAATAATGGACACGGACTATATTTAGAAGCAGTTTTATCACAGGAACACAAACACTGAGATATCATAAGTTACATCTCTCCCAAACCAGCTAGAGATTCTCACATACCAAGTACAATGATTCACTCCCTCTAAGTGTTGAATTTATACAGTGGTGTTTTATAATGCAATACTCCTCCACAGCCGCTGCCTCAAGTGTTAGAACAAAATCACAGGTACAAAATCTCACATCTCATCACACTGCATCTGCCAAGTGTGCGTTATGACTATGCGGTGCGGTGAGAGTTATTCATGATGCTGGCTGATGTAGCGTGTGTGAGGATGATAATACCTTTACTGTAGTCGGGGAAATGGAGCAGAAGCGGCTCGAAACAGCCCGTGTTCGGTCTGAACTTGTCCCAGGCGATTTCACTGAGCAGGATGACAGTAATGTTGTCCTCAACCTGAAGAACAGATGTATGTATTTACACATATGCCGTATGATAGAGGTTTTATACAACAAGTATACTCACTTCTACTGTTTACAAGTCAGTGAGTCTCTCCGATGGGTACAGACAGTGCTAACTCCTCGAATTTATGCGTTTCATATATCTAAATGAATGCTTTTTACCCTCCTCACAATATAAAAAGATACCTTTGTCCCTTTGGGGACAATAAAGTTTAACTTGGGAAAGGGGCTTTATCAGAAATGGATCACAAAACATGTCAGTATCTCAGACAAAACAACAATGATACAATATTGATCTTCTCATGCAATACTACAATGCTGTATTAGGGATGTACCAATCGTTTGGTCTATAAAATATCATAAAACAGTCAAAAATGCCCATCAAGATTTCCCATAGCCCAAACTGACAACTTCAACTTTTGTCAAGCCAACAGTAGAAACCCCAAAGATTTTTAATTTACAAAGATATTAATCATAGGGAAGCAGCAAATCCTCACATTTGAGAGGCTGGAATTAGAAAATGTCTGGTATTGTTGCTTAAAAAGGCTTCAAAGATTAATCAATTACCAGAATAGTTTAATTGACTGAGCTGACAACTCGTTTCAGCTCTAGATCAGATATCGTGCATAACGTTACCAAGCCACATTTAATACAATTTCTTCATCAGTGTCATTATCAGTCACATTCAGTCAGTCATGTCAGGCTGCCGACTCATTTTTTAGAGCCACAGCAGTTCCTGGTTTTACATTAAATAAAAACTATCCCTGCCAGTTAAGCCCAGAGAGGTATGCAGATCGTAAAATTTGGGAAAAAGAGAGCACTGGTTATCAGATCAGTACTCGGTACTAATTCAGTAAGAGCTGACATTTGGCGGGCTGAACCAATTTGGGAGAAAAACTACGACAGAGTTCTTTTCCTAACTATGTAAAGATAAGAAAAAGTTTGAATCAGATCAGATCAACATGATCTGTACATGTCAATAAGACACTTACAAACAGAGAACACATACTCTAACCTCTACCTGTTCCTTTCTGCCACTATAATTAAATATACCCAAACCATAATCAGTAAAGCCTTCCTGTAAACCTTTCTACAGAGGCCAGAATGATATTAATAATATACTTTAGAGACACAACAACCCTTCATCATCCTGTCATCAATCACGAACATGTGAATCTGCATCCTAATTATCACTTCAAAATCCTGTGTGGCAGCACCGAAGCAGCATGACATTAAAAAGACGGATTCCTCTTAACACCCACAATCCACCAGAGAACAGTCAGTTTTCACAGGAATAAAACACAAACAATCACAGAAATAATCAGTCTTTTAACTTTTGCTGTGTTTAATTAAAATGCTGTGAGTGGCTACCATCCTTCCTTCCTAACAGCCTTACTAAAGAGCTCCACAAACTCAGCTCAAGGTCATTCTTTACAAAGGAAGCTCTTCTAGTCCCTCTTCATCATCCGTACAGTGCAACAACAGTAAAGTGGCTCAGTTGATAGATAACACAAAGAGCTGGCTGCACTTTCTTACCAGTTCCTGAAGACGCAGGAGAGCAGGGAGGAGATTGGCATCAGTGTCTCTCAAAAGCTCTGCTTTTTCCATTACCTGAAAGAAAAAGGTGTACGTTTGAGCCCATTTTGTAACATCCATACTCAATAAAACAGAAGTTGTGAATGAGTGTTTTATCTTGGTGTTTTCTGCAGGAAGCTCACTTTAAAATGTAAATAATGATAAAGCCAAAAAACTAGATTAAACCCACTCCTGTGCTGGCTGGAAATCACACTTATTTTCTCCAGGCTAATGCATCTGGAGCTTTGTTTAGCAGCCATTTGCATATGCTATCACTACTAATCATATTATTGTACAAACATTTAAGTGACACATCCAGAGAATAACTAATTTGACGTGCCATGGATTAGAGTGTTTTGGTGTGCCAAGTGAGGAGTGATTTTCTGGTTGAGTGTAAAGTGCATGGCACTCACAATGTATCGCGTCTGCTTGGCAGGAGACTGGGAGCACTGCTGCCTGTAGATGCGTACAAAGTCAGACAGGGAGGGACTGCGGGGGAGCAGTGAGGCAGCCTCGCAGCCAAAGAAGGACAGCAGCACTTGTTCAAACAGCAACGTGGCGGAAACACATTCGACACAGCTGACTGTAGCGTGAGGCAGCTGCAGAGAGAAGGGGAAATAATGATAGAGTTAACAAACGTCGTGACGTTGTGCTGGTTCCATCTTTCGCTGTGAGCTTTAAAATCTGATGATCTGTGATGTTAAATTAACACCACATATAAGTTAGTTACAGCTTCAACAATCTTTATATTTATTCATTGTTTCAGTCATTTTCAAGAAAAATGCCAAACATTTGCTACTTCCAACTTCTCATATGAAAGGATTTGCTGCTTTATCGCTATTATTCTAATAAAATATGAAATTCTACAGGCATTTTTTGCTTAGATGGTGTGCCATCTTTTTCACTTTTGAGCTGATTTGCTGTTTTTATTTGTCTTATATGATAGTGAACCTAGTATCTTTGCGTTTTTGACTGTTGGTTGAGTGAAACAAGCATTTTGAAGATGTCACTTTGATATCTCAGAAATTGTGAGGGGCTTTTTTTTCCCATTATCTTTTAAATTTTATAGAATAAACAATTCATCTAGAAAATAATCTCTTTCGTTATTGAATAATCAGATTAATCAATAATGAAAATGATAGTTAGTTTCAGTACTAGTTAGCTACTTAGGAACTTCATTGTTTATGTTGTAAAAAATTGGGTTCACCACATGGAAAGGGAAAACAGCAAGAGCACAGTATTAACAAACAACATGACCTTAAAAAAAGGTACACAAAATCAAAAAGACAAGGACTATATGCTTGTGATGTTAGTCAAGAAAGATCTCAATACATTATGTATAATTCACTTGGGGGCTGTTACTTGTTTATGGCATCTCCATGAGGATAAAAATCCAAGTGCAGGTGCAAAGGGTGGGAAGCATCACTGAGGATCTGGAAAGCTTTGCTCTTTATATTTAATTCATACAAAAAGATTTGCAGTAAGATAGTTAAGTTTTTCCCTAAATCCAACACCTAGTATTCTATCCATGAATTTTAAATCAGGAAGGGAAATATAAGCCTCCACACAGAAACCTTCCCTGTGCAAGGGGAAATGAGATTTCTCTGAAATACACTGCCACAATAAAATTTCTTAAAGGAATCATGTTGTCAAGAACTTTTTTTTTTTTTTTTGGATAAAATCAACATTTTCAAGGACTAAGCACTCAGTCAGAGGTCTAATAAAGAAAGTTCTGTATGTCACAAGTGCCAGCATCTGTTTAATGTTTACATGAGCTTAAAGAAGTGAGTGAGTCAAACTCTTTCGTGTTAAGAAGCTACTGACACAGGCCTGATTAATGGTTTGTCCCTTAACACACTTCTGTTGTCTGGAGATAAAGGTAGACAAAGGGAAATTATTTATCATTTCGATAGCAAAATTGGATCAACTCCATCCTGTACATCTACACATAAAAACACCATTTAGACCTGGACTGCAACTGTTTCTGTCTCACCTCAAGTTCCTTCAGCAAAACTTGCATCACATGACTCTTCCCTGAAGCCCGATGACCGTAGATGAAGATTGAAGGGTAGCTGTACTGCTGCGGCTGCAGGAACCAAATACAACACCTTTTACAGAGTATAATAGCAATATTCCATTATGATCAATTACAATTTATTAAACAAGGTCTCCCTTTTACCGTGTTCCTAACTAACATCAACCCCGTTTTCATCAACAAAGTAAATCCAGTGTTGTTGGCAGTAATTAATTGCAAAGACATTCTTAGTTATCAAGCAGTCTCTTAATATCCTTAACAAATTGATAAGTTGATATGATTGAAAAATTCCAATTAGGCTGTAACTGTTCCTCTTGAGATGAATGCAGAAGGATCTCTGGTGATTATTAAACCCAAGCCTATCAGTTCATATTATTCTGGCACCGGGGATCTAATGACAAACAATTCATCCTCTACCAAAAGAATATTGAAAAAAAATCTAAAAATAGTAATCAACACAAAGCCAGCTCCAAACTGGACTGGAATAGATGGAGAGATAGTCTGGAACAATGGCATTGGAGATTTTCCTAACATTTTTGTTAAAATAAAGCAAAATGAAAGTGAGTCAAATATTGAAGACCTTTGTAAATGATATGTTAGATATTTTATTACCTTTCACTACTTGAAATCAGTGTTTTTAAGAATTTTCAAGCTAGCTTCCTGTAAATGCTAGGCCAACCCCTGCTCCTGTGCTGACATTTAAAAGCTTTACAGGTGAACGTACTTGTCCCATTAGCGACAGCAGCACTCCCGCCTGGACCTCTCTGCAGGGCAGAAGCTCTGCGGCTCTCTGCAGCCTCTCCTCCTCATATCCTTGCTGCCGTAACAACGCCGTCATCCTGTTTTTTCGTACTTCCAATGTCAACACCGTGTATTGTTACACCACGAAGAGGTTGGTGACTTCGGCAGCGGCTAAAAACAACAAAACCAACGTTAGCTAAGTGGCCGTTTACAGCGCGTTTAACGGGGACGGGAGGCGACGGACTGCGGTCAAAATGTGAGTAAAACCAGGAAAACTGCTGTAAACTATTTACTGTGAACACGACAGACAGCTGTGGGAATCTCCATGTCAGAAAATAAAAGTGTAACAAACGTAAAACTGACTGAAATACTAAGTTGAAGTTAGAAACGCAATCACACAAGCAGGGAAATTCACAACAGTTTCGCGCGCGCCTTCAGATTACGTCAAATGACGGCTGTTGGTTACCAGCCAATCATAACGCACTACAGTATTATGGGTAATGTAGTTTAACACGATGTGTGAACTAAATGGAAATTATGGCTATAAAATGTTAAAAGTTACTGCATTGCCTGTTAGATTTGGATAAAACTTTGTCCTATATAGTGCCAGGCTCTTTCGATACACTTTTATACTCTTTTTTTTTTTTAACTTTTTTATTTAACGGAATTAAGGTATTGAAGACTTGTAACATGACAAGTGGGTAACTACATCATTTGAGGAACAGGGTAAGCCAAAAAAGCAAAACTAGTGGGCCTAATATTATCCTATTGGAATTAAATACACGGATCAATTTAACTGTTAGGCTAGTTTCTGATTTATTGTTTATTTCTTTATTTATTTTATTATTATCGTTATTACTGTAGCAAGTGCATTTATGTGCACTAATTCATAGCGGATACAATTAGGTTATTATGATGCAGCGGACAGAGGGAAATATGACCATTAAATTATGAGCCATTTGCTTCACTGTGATTCTTCTAAATCCATGTGTCTGTTTAAGATTTCGCGCGTTGCTGTAGTAATACGTCAGCCTGGGATTAAGGGAGGTGGGTTGGCCCTGTAATAACCAAGGCTATCCTCCAACTCTGATTCAATAGGAGCTCAGCTGCGGTTGTTGGTCTCTCGCCGTCGAGCACAGAGCTCGGACCGTCTCAGCGCGATCTCACACACGGCTTCACAAAGCAGAGCTGAACCGGTCTGTCGGAATAACAGCCTCCGGCTTTGGCACGACTCAGGTAGAGACGATTTTGAATAAACATGAGGACAAATGTAGGATGAATCCACTCGCTGCTGAATAGATGATGCTGCCTGAATTCTCTTCACGGAGCGCACGTTTGGGCTTTTTTTTTTCTTTTTTCTTTTTTTTTGCGGAGTGATGAATGAAATTCAGAGGGAAACACAAGACGGAAACAAAACCTGAGCTCATGGATGCGAGAGTGCAGTGATGCTGTGTCTGCAACTGTGACTGAATAAAGGTAGAAATATAAAGAAGTTCTGCAGACTGAATATTGTGACTGGGCTTTTTAGGGATCAGATGCGGCAGATGTTACTTCAGTGAGGACAGTAACTGATCCTGAGGACCGAGCCGACCCTCACTCACACAGACCAGAGGATGGTCCCCGGGGCCCCCACGACCACCACCATGCTCCCCGCATCCGAGGCTGCCAAAATCTACCAGACCAACTACGTGCGCAACTCCCGCGCGATCGGCGTCCTGTGGGCCATCTTCACCATCCTCTTCGCCATCGTCAACGTGGTGTGCTTCATCCAGCCGTACTGGATTGGAGACGGCGTGGACACCCCTCAGGCGGGCTACTTCGGTCTGTTCCACTACTGCATCGGGAACGGCCTGACCCGGGACTTGACCTGTCAGGGCAGCTTCACCGAGTTCAGCACCATCCCCTCCGGTGCGTTCAAGGCCGCCTCCTTCTTCATCGGCATGTCCATGGTGCTGGTCCTCACCTGCATCGGCTGCTTCGCGCTCTTCTTCTTCTGCAGCACTGGCACCGTGTACAAGATCTGCGGCTGGATGCAGCTGGCTGCAGGTAGGAGACTCTGACTACAGGTGTGGAAATTCATAAGTTCACTGCTTGTTAAAGTGGTGTGGGGAGCTGCAGTGAGAGTTCAAATTAAGTTTAAGATTCATACAGTTCACAAGAAATTGTTCATATAGTTAATTGTTATATAGTTTGGTATGAAAACAGCTGATCATAGTCACACATTTACCTTAATGTTCTCCAGCTTTTTTGGATGGTAGACTGTATTGGCCACAGAGCACCATTTTACAAGGTTGTGTCTTTCAAAACCCCACTTTAGAGTAGTTCTCTGGTTACTGAAGCCTTTGTAAAACGTTATGTAACCGTCTGTAGTGTAGGTGGAGTGGCAACAGCCTTGGGGAAAGTGAGACCTTAATTTATACTCAAATTTAAAAAAAAAAAAAAAAAAAAAAAAAAAACTGTGTGCTGATGCCTCAAGAGGTGAATTATGAAAAGATAAAAGCATTTTTGCAATTCCACCTTTTGCTGAGGTTGCTTTACTGATACTGGAGGTCTGGGCTGGGCTTTGAGGTGTTACCCACACACAGAAACTGACTGTGAATGAAACAGGCAAACTTCCTCCAGGTGGGAATCACTACATCAGTAGGAACCAAAATCAGTTAAATTTGCAGAAATGCGTAAATTTATGCTTGTTTTAATCATTTCAATACGTCCTATTCAAAAGTATATCCTGGATTTCGTCATATATTAGCCAAAAGAAAAAATTTGGTGAACTCTATTCTGTTGATATGAAAGGTTGATAAACCATGGACACAGGTAAGTCCTCAGTGGTGTGTGTGGTTTAAGCTGTACTTGACTTTCAGGAGCAAAAAAAAATGCAAATAGTTTTATTTTTTTTCTCTTAGAGAAGCCCTGTTTGTTCTCATTAACATCTTCAAACCCAGCATGCACGTTAAATGAAAAGACATACTCTTTTAAAGAAAACGAACAGAAATCAAAGGAACAGACGACTGAACTGCTTCTTTCTGCCTTTAATTATTTTTTTGTCAAATTTCCAAGTTGAAGCAGACAGAGAATTTGCCTGCATGTGCAGCTTTGAATCTCAACCAACTATTTCAGCACACAAGAGAATATTGCAGGAAATATCAGCATGAACAACATGTTCTTCCTGATACGTTTATTTTTGGTGGAAACAAGACTGCGTCCAGAATTTTAGAAATACTGAAGGTCATGTGCCGCCCCCCCCCCCCCCCACACACACACACACACACACACACACACACACCCCTCACCTCTCTCATTACAAACCAGTACATTCTGATGAGAAGCCAGAATATTAAAAACATTAAATTATACTTTATATTCTTATTTAATTATTTTGTTCATGTGGATTTATTTTAGTCTGCCAAGAGTCCAAATTCAAGGTGACTGATACGTGCACACACAGATACACTCAGTTATACAAGAGCATACACAGTACATGCAGATACACATGGACACACATACTCATTACCTACTACTGCACACATGAGAGTGCAATAATACAAAGTGTGCTCACAGCCTTAGTCTACAGTACATCAATTATAGTGTCAGTTCAATCAATTTTTCACTTTCATATGAACTTTATGTTTATCTCGCACTAATAACACTTTGTGCTGAAGGCGTATTGGCCTTGTACACATTTGAATTCCCCAGATAGTACAACTAAATCTTGTCTCGCGTGTTCACAGAGTGTAACTCACTTTAATGCCATCACCCCGCCATCTATTCAGATCTCTGTGAGCTGCATCCCCCACACTGCAGCAGTAACTGACATGATTATAAATTTGACTATAAGATATAACATTAAGAGTTTCTTTAGATAAGAAGCTTGTATCTCATCCAAGCATCCCTAGAAAGGTCAGTGATATGAGCTGTCCATGTCAGACTAATTTGTTGTTTGATTCCCAGTAATTTAATCTCTGCGACCTTTTCAGTTTGAACATTTGCACACTCTATGTGCATGTTGTCATTCTTTTGCCATTGTTTGCACTTTATATTTAGTAATCACTTTAAAAGACTATTCTATTAATACAGTTTATACGCCATGGTTAAAACCTAGCGCCTACACCCACAATGCAACGCGATCACTGACAGTTTGGTTGGAGATTTGAGAGCGACAGCGAGATACCCTTTAACGTCTTTTAATATTCATGTGCCTGCATTTGTGAGTGTGCTGTTGCTGTGACTGTTGTGTCATCTGCAAATATACACAAGTTTGTATAAATGAGAAGGTGAACGGCCTTAAACAGATCAAAAATAGAAGAAAATAGATGCTATCAGTCCCTGTGTCATTCACATGACCTTGACTCAAGATTCACTGGTGAGAGTGGAGTTTTTTAACCAGAAACAAAAAAGATTATATTAATTTTTTCTAATCTAAATGAAGCAGCTGTAATTTAAGCCAGAACCACGAGATTTCATTTCATTTCTGTGAGAAAACGAGCGGCATCCCACCAGTTAACGTTTCAACTGAGAAATATATGACCAATAATGGCTGATAAAAAAGATTTTGAGCACAATCGCTGGCACAGAATTCTGATATAAATCTAATTTGTGTGTATAAATAATCTCCCGGCAGCGTTACACTGTGCATCTCCGTGATGCCTGCTGCAAAATAGTGCTTGTTCTCAAATGGGAATTAAATGTCATAACCAATAACAATCAGATTCATGGAGAGTGCAGCTGCCTACAGAAATACTTAACGGCTAAATATCCATCCTGTGTCCCAAAAGTACACTGACCATCAGTTCAGACAACATCCAGCATCATGCTGCACCAACCATTAATTAGATACAGAGGTTAGCAGAGTCATTGGCCAGCTGTTAGGCCCAATCTATGCACTGTGTTCCCATTACATTGCAAAAAAACAAAAGTGCTGTGACTAAAGTATCCAAAGTCTGAAACCCTAGCAGCTGTGAGGTGGATTGTCTTGGAGAGGAAGCTCCATCAGCAGGCCAGCCCTAATGAGAGCGGCAGCACAGCCCCGCAATTTGTGTCTTTGCATTTTTATTTTTTTTTCTTCTTCTTTGTCGCAGATCAAAGCTGCTTCTTATTCCTCTGAGTCACATGTTGAGTTTCCTCAGTTTTCCCATCATGTCGAGGGAGCAGCTGTGAGAGTTTACAACACAGTCAGGTGAAAAGAAAAGAAACTGTCAAACTGCCACAGTTGGTCCAGTCATCTCTGGTGGTTGAATGTGTTTAACGGCAGTGGAAAGAAACTAAGTACATTTACTCAAATACTTTATACTTTGACTTCACTTCATCTCGGAGGGAAATGTTGCACTTTTTTCCATTAGATTTAGATTTTACATAAAAAAAAACAAGTGTACAGCTCCAACTAACAATTATTTTTGATCAATTTCATTATTATCGATTGATCATTTGGATGGAAAAAATGTCCGAAAACGGTAAAAAAAATTTCCAAAAGCTCAAGTTTATACACTCTTGCCCATTAAGTTGGAATCATTTTGTTTTCAGACACAATCCTCTGTTTATTCCTATTTAAATGCATCAGTAATCACTTTTGACCAGGTGCAATGATTACATTATGTGTCCCAATTACCCAGGTGAAATGAAATAAATCACATTGTCACAATCATTTCATGGAAAGAGGTAAAAAATATTTTATTCCAACTTTATGAGCAACAGTGTATATGTAAATTTCTTTATAGTCCGTCCAACTGTCCAGAATACAAAATTATTTATATTTATTTTGATACTTTAAGTACATTTTGCTGGTAATATTTCGGCACTGTTACGCCAGTAAAATTTTGAATCATCTTTTCACTCGCAGCCTAATTCAACATCGCCCCTCGCAAATCTCCTCTCCTCCTCCGTCTCATTCACTGATACACTGAAACCACTGTGAAATCAGCCATTTAAAGATTTAGGCAACTTAAATAGCCAATGTCAAGGCGCTTTCTCTGTCTTAGCCGTCTGAGATCCCAGTGTGATTGTGATTGTAAAAAAAATATATATATATATATATATATATATATATATCCTGCCTCTTTAGATGTGATTTCAGGTGGTATGGAGCCGCTGTGATGTGCTATCAAAGGCGGCACGTACAACTCGGAGGCTCGGCTCCAACCACGGGATGTCCTGAATGTTTGATGAGCACTGGCTTCTAGTAGGGAAGAGATTTTAGGGAAAATAGCTGAGAATAATGAGCATCCGCTGTAATGGTAGAGCTGTGTCTTTTGCCTCTGTGCTAATGTGAGAAACCACAGTCTGGTTTGATGATGTGTTTTATAGTTTGCACAAGTCTTTTGCGTAACTTTGTTCAGTAGTTGACATTTCTTTTATGTGTTTCTCGCATCTCTTTTCTGTTGTCTCCCCTTCATTTTCCTGCCTGAACATCCGTCACTAAAACACCGGGCCTCAAACATTTTGGCTTGTGACCCCTTAAAACAAAGCAATATATGCAATATGTCAGCTGGTTGTGATCAATTCAACCAAAAAGTGAGTTTTTTCCTTGTTTTACTTGAATAATTTTAACATGCTGAAGAGATAAAAGTAAATCACGACAGAAAAAAGCAAAAATTAGTGTAAAAATCTGAAAAAGCTTCATTTGGTTCTGAGGAATTTTTTTTTTTTTTTTTTTCTGCACACCTGAGGTGGAAGTGAAGAATTATCCATTTCCTCGCTACGACTTGAAGCTCAATATTACAGTTTTCAGGCCATTTACATTCAGTTTTTAATATTCGTACATTTGCGGTATCTTATTCACTCAATACACATTTGCGGATTCCTTTACACATTCACGAATTAGACCAAGCATTTCCAGACTGAGCTACAGTGTCACAGCTGTGCAGACGCGGATGCAAATGCCACACAACGACAGATGTTTGCAATAATACCCCCATAGATTGTGGGAAAATTTGTATTGTGTTTCATCCCTCCAGAGGCTTGGTGAATATGGCAAGCTGTTCTGGATGGTTTTCTTGGCCCAACACTTCACTAAAAGACTTTGTGTTTGCTGTTTTTTGGGGATTTTTTTTCAT